CACACACACACACACACACACACACACACACACACACACACACACACTCATCTTTGTCTTTTAATGGTTTTTTAATCAAATCAGAATGTTGATTTGCTTGGAGCAATACCCACTATTTTGAACCTGTTGGGACTGTTTGGACTTGCCCTTCATAGTCAATTCTGAATTCGCAGTTGTTTGCAGATTTAAAGGCAGCTCTCCTGTTCCTGAAAAGCCATCTTCCCGCGTGGCACTCCTTGAAGGATATCCCCGATGGATGGAAAGCTGCACACCAACTCTGGCAGGCCGGTAGGAAGGAGGCAGGAAGAGCTCCCCCCAAGCACGGAAGGGCGGGATCTTTACCTAAGGGCCTCCAGGCCCTGACACTTCCTCCAGCCAATGAGAGCTGCCCACTGGCTGCGGTGAGCTGGGTGCTGGGTTGCTAGGACAACCGTTGCAAAGACGCTGCCCAGAGAGGTCGAAACTGCTTGGCCTCGTCCAGGCCTGGTATTTGGTATCCTTTGAGAGAGGTTGTTACCCAGAAGTTGTGGGGATTTGTGGGGACGTGGGACCCTCTTTATCTGTTCGAGAATTCCTCTAATGTGGACACTCTAATGTGCCTAAGCTGCCTACGGGCACCCCCAGGACTCCTAAATGAAGGGGTTTCGCAGACAACCTTTACTCCACTCCCACCCCACCCCCAAAACCGCCTGGCGACCTCCTGGCTCCCCGGGAGGAAAGAGGGAGGAAGGGAGGGAGAGCAAGAGTGCGTCAGTCTGTCTCTATTAATTTTTGCATCAATACATTGATTGACCCTCTCTTTAAAAGAGGCTTTGGGCTTGGTGGTTTCACACAAAGATTGTGGGGCAGCTGTCGCTCTAGGTAAACGCCCCAAGTAACAGCGTTTGATTTCTTTGCAGAGCCATGGGCGGCAAGAAGAAGGAAGTTCCCCTGCAGGTAAGTTTTGAGGGGCGCTAGCTTCTGGCATTTAATTAGGGAGGGTGGTGTGGGAGTGGGGTGCAGGAGGAAGATGACTCTCTACTTGCTAACAGTATGGGACAGTGTTTTGGAGCCCACATACCCTAGCCTTCTGTGTTGAAGCAGAAATGAATTATCTGGAGCAAAATTACTAGGTTAGTAATTACAGATTAGAGAGAGAGAGATTTTAAATAAACATGCTTGAAGCTCTCAACTGGCCTTTGCAACCGTACAAGTAGCTTTAATATAAAACCACAAAATCCGAGAGAAGATGAAGCAAGATTATTTTCTGTTGAATAATAATTGTAGAAAATACACAGGATACATACAGACTCTTTGGATTTGGGCATGCATCTATGTACTCGGTCATGACCAGGGTCCCTGCACTGTTCTGTCCAAACAGTATGGCTCGAGACTTATTGTGTGATGAGCATTTGCTTTGTAGGCTGCTTTACTTTTTTTGTTTTTTTGTTTATTTTTGGTTTTCTGTTGTTGTTTTTTTGAGAAAAGGTTTCTCTGTGTAGCCTTGGCTGTCCTGGACTCACTTTGTAGACCAGGCTGGCCTCGAACTCACAGAGATCCTCCTGCCCCTCCCTCCCTGAGTGCTGGGATTACAGGCGTGTGCTGCTGTGCCCACTTGCTTTACTTCATTTGCTCATAGGACAAACCAGCTCTTTCCTCTTTCTCTCCTCCTCCTCCTTTTCCTCCTTTTTTTTTTTTATCCTTCTCTCCTCTATGTAGCTCACCTGTGAAGAGGGGCTTCGTGAACATCCCAAAGGGTCATGCGGTTCTGACATACTAGGACTCCAGAGTTGGGGCATCTTCTGCGGTAGATTCTGAGCCTCTGGTTCCCCCGCTATTGCTGTGCAAACCATTTCCTCAACCGCACTGACCCCTGTGCAGAAGGAGGGTGGATAATGCATAAACTGCAGTTATGTGACAAGCCTGCACACAGTTCCCAGCCGCCTGCACGCATGCTCTCAGAGGGTCTCACGATAGCCTGTGTGTGTTCGTCTTTTAATGCCCTGTCGCCCTTTGGGGGGATAACAGTGCTGTTAGTGGTGCTTTTTATTATCCCTCAGAGCTCTGAGCACAATCCAGTACTCAAAGTTAAGTGATCCCATCTGCGGAGGAAGTGTGTGTGTTCTTTCTCCACCCACAATGAGGTCACTCTTTGAATGCATTGTCAACGATCTCCAACCCAGAAACCCTGTCCTCTCTCTCTCTTCGGGGTTCCTTCAGTGACTGATATAGAAATCATATGACATCAGGGAATAATCTGGTCAGATGGTGCCAGGCAGTCTCTCCATGTTCTCCAAACGCAGGCCTTGGGGACATTCAAGTATTTTCCATGCTGATATGCCCTACAACCAGGAGTAAGACAGTTCATCTGGCCCCAGGGCAGGTGTGGCTCACCCCATGAAGGGCACCAGGAGGTAGAGAGGCGTCAACCATATCAGTTAAGCCACCGGGTGGTGACCCGGCTCTTCTGATCCTTTTCTGACACTTGTTTCAGTGTTTCAGGGCAGTAGCTTTGGGGCCAGGATGATATCGGTCCAAATCTCTCACTTAAGTCTTCAAAAGAGCTCTTCTCTTTTGTATCTACACACACACACACACACACACACACACACACACACACACACACACATAGACACACACAGCTTCCTTGAAAATAGAGACCTATAATAGAGGATCTGTAAAGTTATATAGTTTCCTGTCATACTTAGTGGGTAATATATCCTAACACAGACCTTTACATATTTTTATCAAGAACAAGTAGTAGGGGCTGGAGATGGCTCAGCGGTTAAGAGTACTTACTGGATGCTCTTCCAGAAGACTTGAGCTCGATTCTTAGCTCCCAAATAGTAGCTCAGAGCCTTCTGTAACTCCAGTTTCAGGGAATCCAACACCCTCTTCTGGTCTCCTCAGGCACCAGGCATGAAAGTGGTACACAAACATTATGCAAGCAAAACACCATACACTTAAAAAAAAAAACAACAAATCATTTTTGTTTGCTTGTTTGTTTTTCGAGACAGAGTTTTTCTGTGTAGCCTTGGCTGTGCTGGACTCATTTTGTAGACCAAGCTGGCCTCGAACTCTCAGAGATCTGCCTGCCCCTGCCCCCCTGAGAACGGACTCACAGTCATGCACCATCGCACCTAGCTCCAAAATAAATAAATAAATCTTTAAAAAAAAACTTTAAAGAAAAAAAAGTTGTAATTTTCATGATCTTCCTATTTGTATAGTGTCAAAATAATGCCTTGTATGCCGAAGCAATTCAAGAGAGTTTATTTGCGCTCACCATTCAGGGGTTAGATTCCATCACAGCAGAGAGAAATGGCATGCTAGTGGCTCCATATTTGGCAATGAGAGCCTGCAGCGTGGCTTGTTACATCTGGGCAGACGGGATACCGGAAGTGGGTGCTGAGCTATATAACCTCAATGCCTATCCTGACTGGCTTATATATGTGCCACCTCTGTCCTGTGTTGTAAAGGCTCCAGAACCTTGCAGCCTTTGCCACCACTGGCTTGGGACCAAGTGTCCAAACCCAGAAGCCTGTGGAACATCTCACAGTGAAGCTGTAACACTCTCTATGGAAACATGTTCATTAGAAGGAACAAGAGCATCCCTGCCTGGTGGAGGAGGCTGGCTGACTTCCATGAGTAGCCAAATGAGGGTGCTTTTAAATGGGCAGGTGGAAACTGTGTATCGCCTGATTGGCTGTAAGGAGGGCGAATCTCTGTAGCTTCTCAAACACTCCAGTCCAACCCACCCACACACATACCCCACATACATTCAGGCACACACCTGTCGTGGTGCATGTGTCTGCCAGAGGTTGAAGTCAGGATGTTTTCCTCGGTTGCTTCTCTACCTTATGGAACAGGGTCTGTAGCTGAACCTCTCTAATCAGCTAGAAGGACTGGCCAGTGATCTCACTGGAGCCCGCTGGATCTTCCTGCCTCTGTCCCCTGCCTCTATCCCTGAACGCACACCTCCATTCTCCACATTTTACATAGGTGTCAAGGATCCAAACTTAGGTCTTCATACTTGTGCATTGAACACTTTCCTGGGGCCATTGGCCCAGCACCCCCATTCAGTACTTAGGGGTGATGGAATATCAGATTGATAGTTTACTTTCAGGCAACTAAAAAGTACCCCCAAGTATTCTTTATACCATACTTATTTTTTTATAGATTTATTTGTGAGTGCTCTGTCTATATGCCTGCATGTCAGAGAGGACATCAGATCTCATTACAGATGGTTGTGAACCACCATGTGGGTGCTGGGAATTGAAGTCTGGATTTCTGGAAGAGCAGCCAGTGCTCTTGATAACTGAGCCATCTCTCTAGCCACTGTCCTGTACTCTCAAGTACATGTTACTCTTCAGTGATTGCAAAAATGTTTTAAAATAAAGATGTGTTTTATATACATTATAAAAAATTGGAGAGGGATAATAACATTCATTTCTCCTTGTATTTCATGCCTCATATACACCAGAACTCTTTTATAAGTAAGAAACAATGTGAATGGGTGGCAACAAACTCAATTATTTCTGATACTGACTGAACATGAACTACAAAGGGAAACTGGAGTGTAGCGCTGCTTGTGTGAGGGTTAACAACGCACAGCGACCTTCTCTATGATTCCTGGACAAATGACAGATGACATTTCTTAATGTCTGAGCATGGCACACATTGTTCTTAGGTTAATGTTTTTCTGGCACAGAAAAGGAGAGGGAAGAAAGAAAGAAAGATTGTGAAGAGAAGACAATTAGAACCACATTTGGGAATGATAGAGACAGAGAGAGAGAGAAATGGAGAAAAAGTGGCTCCCATCTCTGGCCCTACTGACACAGCTTTCGATCCTCTCTGGCTGCAGGTCAACATCACCACCCAGGAGCTCTGGGAAGAAATGCTCGGCTCCAAAGGACTGACTGGTGAGGAAACCATCTTTTCAAAATGATGCAGTGATGCGCGGGAAGAAGGGGCTACAGTGGGTGGGACCCTCTTTTAAGCCTAGCTCTCCATCCGTAGTACTGCATAAGCCAGATACGGTGGCGTATATCTGTAGCCCCAGAATTTGAGAGTTGGAAGTCGAATGATCAGAGCTGAAGGTTCGTGGCAAATCTGAGGCTAGCTTGGGCTACCTGTAACTCTGTTTTAAGATGCACAAACAGGAAAAGAACCAGGCGGTTTCTTTGTGTCTGTGTGCACGGGAGCCCCGGCTTGTCTGCGGTTTCACTCTCCTCGGCTTCAGTTACCTGCATTCAACCATCGTCCCACAGAAGACTCCACAAGTATTAAGTCTGTAATTTTCCAATCACACACCATTCTGAGAAGTGCTGAAATGTCATGCCCTCCCACCCAGGACACCAACTGTTATCTTGTCTGGTGTGTCCACATCATCTGCTCCTTACTGTCTTAGAAGCCAGTTACCAAACCAACTGCCTTGGTCCTAAATGCTTCAGACCCACCCAGCTTGTTAAGTGCTGGTGTCTTGGAGCACATCCCCCGAGGATACAGGGCGCCATCGTACTTCATTTAGCCGGGCGTCGGTAAATCCAGCTCAGCGAACAAGTTGGTCCTGTCAGTAACAGAGCTCTCTTGGTTTAGAGCTGATTGCTAGACTCAGTTTGATGAGGCACAAAAAGGAGACTGTTTTGGAAGGAAAATGGGGGTTTCCTGGAACCTCCAGGATGGAGAAAGAGTGAGACACCCCCAGAGGACCGGAACCAACCAGGGGCCAAACAACCATTGTCCAGGCCTATCTCCTTTGAATCAGTTAGCGCTGCTGGGTAACAGTTTACCCACAGGAGAGTGGCTTGAGTAATTCCTGCCTTCTTTTAGCTGCAGTTCAGCTGAAGTACAGTCCAGCTCTGTGCTTCCGGCCCCAGAGGCCGCACCAAGGCTCGGTTTATGGGTTCACTGAGTGGAGGTCAGCAGAACTCCCTTCCTCCCTGCTTGTTGGCCAGAGACATCATTTCTTGCCATCAGTTTCTGCGTGAGCCCACTCACATCATGGTAACTTGCTTCCTCCAGAGTGGGAGCACGGAGAGGGCACAGCCTCTTGTTAACTTAAGTCACGTCTATACTTTATCATGCTTAGTAGGAACTCATCATGGGATCCAGGGCACTGTCAAGGGCTGCGCTGACATAATGGTATCTATAACAGGAGGCTGGAGTCTTAGAATTGGCCAGCCTCTCCTGCCCACCGTTCCTTCCTCTCCCCTAAGCTAACCGTGTTCTATTACTCTCTGCTCTATTTGCCGCTGCCTCTAGGGCTCTGTCAAAGCTCCCCACCGTATTTCCAGTTTGTCTGTCACCCCAGACTCTAAAACAGTATTAACTTTTTCAACTGGCATCTGTAGCAGACTCGCCCAAACCCCGGGGCCAAATGGATACTAAATAATGTCAGTCCCATTGATCCCCTGTGTGTGGGTGTGAGTGCTGGCATACTCTCCAGCTGGAGGGATTATGAAGACTTTTGATGGTGCCAAGGCTTAACTGTTATACCCACGTGTCTGGTCTAGACAGCTAAATACAGCTCCAGGATGAAACAAACCATTACATTTTTTTACCAACAGTGAAAGAGCCAATATCACATAATCTGCCAGAGACTCTGCTGCCCTGCCAGCTGCCCTGATAAGCACTTACATGACCATGGCTAATGCTTCCCGAGCACGGACTGTGCCAGGTCGACTCTCAGCAGCTCTAGAGTGAAAGGCTCCTCTAAGACCTCTCACTAGGCAAGTTAGAGGAACACACACACACACACACACACACACACACACACACACACACACACACCGGGACAGAGGGGTGAGAAAGAATGCCCTTCTACCTGGAGCCAGTGGAAACTGGTTTCCAGAGTCATCCCCTCTGGCAATCTGGCCTGCCGCTGCCCTTTCTCACCTGCCTTCAGATTTACACACTGTTACCTGCCTCCCAAGTGTCCTCCGATTTGCTTCCTGCCTGTGGGAGTGCCGTGTTCATGCTCTTCCTCTCCAGTGTTCCCATGCTCCACTTTCTACACTCAATCATGCTTGTCTTCACCGCTCTTCCCAGAGCCAAAGAGGAAAGAAGATGAGAATCCGGTAGAAGGTATTGATGAGACAGAAGCCGGCAACAGAGGTGTCAGTACAAATGCTGAGGAGACTTTAATCTGGGCCCCATTTCTTTTCCTTTGGGTCTTGAACTTGCCTTTTTTCAATGTAGAACTAGTTTCAGCATCCTGTGTCTTCAAAGACATTTTAGTTGGTCCAAGTGCATCTCTGCCTGTGGTGTGCTGGATCCCAACCCTGTCGGTTATGAATGCCTTGTTCTCAGGGACACCCTGAGCCTTGCTCTCAGACTAGACACTGAGGAGGCACAAATGTCTCTGTGCCTTTATGATCTCTTGTCCATTCTAATTGGTACCAGAAACCCAGCCTTTCTAGAATCAAGTTGGCTTTCCTCTCTTTCTCTCTCTCCAACCATTTCTCCCAAGTTCCACCTAGTTTTCTTTTTCTTTTTTCTTCCTCCATGTGTCTCAAAAGACACATACTTGGTTGTCCTCAGTCCTTAGAAGGCGTTGAGATGCCGTGCTCTCTTCTGTTAGTCTCCACTGCTGCTCCTGGCCTCCTTATCCCTTCTGGACCCAGCAGGAGTCCCATTTTCTGCACACTTATTTTACTCAGCCAGACCAACCAGCGCTCCCCCCACCCCCCACCCCCCCGCAACTGGTGCACCTCGTCTGTTTTCAGGAGCGGCAGAAAGAGCACAGGTTATGGTGTCAGATAGATCTGGCTCACAACTTGGTTCTGCCCAGCAATGTTTTCAGTACATCTCCTCCAAAAGCTGAGCGTGAAATTTACAGAATTCAGAGGTTAATCTCAGGGGCCTTTGCAGTCTTCCCGAGGTAGTGCTACTCTGTCAAAAAAGGGTGGATCGCTTGTGCGATTTAGACACAGGCTCCTGAGTGTTAGGGGTGTTCTGGCAAATATCCCTTCTCTATAATGTGGCCACCACAGGCTGCCACTTGCTACATCCCTCTGGTAGCACAGGCTAGATCCTGCACTAATCTGGCGCTTATGAGTTGATTCAGTCTGTGTAGCTTCCTTCTAGGCCTTATGGTTTGCTCCAATCAGATGGGGGAAGAGAGAGAGTGAGATCCAGCAAACCCAGCCCTAACAGCCACTAGAATGGGGACCATAAAAGGAATCCAAGTTTTCCTCCAACAGTTTCTCGAGTTCATTTCTTAGGAGAAAGATGACTTTACAAAGTAAATGAGAAGATGCTTTCCCCAAAGCAAGTGGCTTTAAAATTTTTTATTTAAAAAAAAAAATATGGGGCTGGAGAGATGGCTCAGAGGTTAAGAGCACTGCCTGCTCTTCCAGAGGTCCTGAGTTCAATTCCCAGCAACCACACGGTGGCTCACAACCATCTATCTATAATAAGATCCAGTGTCTTCTTCTGGCATGCAAGTGTATATGCAGATAGAACATTGTATACATAATAAATAAATATATATATATATATTTTAAAAAAGAGCATTTAAAAAATTATGTGTATGAGTATTTTGACATATACTGCATATATGTAAATGTACCATGTATGTGCAGTGTATGTAGATTAGATGAAGAGGTCAGATCTCCTGGGACTGGAGTGACAGGCAGTTGTTAGCTGTCATGTAGGTTTTGGGATCTGAACCTGGGTCTCAGTAAGAGGAGCCAGTGCTCTTGACCACTGTGAATGTCATGAGAGCTATTGGCTTTTGATTCATTAGGGGAAAGCCAAGTTGGCTGTCAGTAGACAAGAGTCAACTAGTTGCTTCCTGGTCAGCCATAGTGACCTCCTATTTGTGGCGTAGTCTGTGTTACCTTTCGGACATTCACCGACCAACATTCCACACCAGGCCTGATCCCCACAAGGTAAATAGGCCACCTTAAAAACATGTTTCTTCTCCCCTCTCGATTCTGTTCATCTCCTCCCCCGCTCCAGGATCTGACGTAAAACAAACCGGAGCGTAGTTGAGGATTTCAACACGCGATCTTTCGGAAATGTTTCAGATCCAGGATTCCATGCTTGGATGAGGGACGGGCATGTTTTGTGCTCAGTCCCCCTCTGCAAGGGTGACGCCTACCCTGCCATCCCATCCACTGCCGGGGGTGGAGAGGGGATAGCAGCCTGCCTGCAAGGACGTGGCTGCCTGCTCAACGTTGTTGCTCCTTGGTCCTTGCAGTTGTGGATGTCTACCAGAGCTGGTGTGGCCCCTGCAAACCCGTGGTAAGCCTCTTCCAGAGGATGAGGATAGAGGTTGGCTTGGACCTTCTCCATTTTGCTTTGGTAAGATTCCTTCTCTGCCAAAAAAAAAAAAAAAAAAAAAAAAAAAAGTCACACAACAGTGTAAACAAATCAAACACGGAGAAAGCACGGGACGGGAAGTACAAGCCGCCCTTTTCAGATCACCAGTTGTCACCGTGTCCTATAATTTCTCTAGACACCAAACTGTATTCAGGGAAGGAACACATGCCACTTAGACGTAACTGTGCATGCATCTTGGCTGGCGAGCCTTGCCGACCAAAATGTCACTTTCAGAGCAGTGTTTGAAGACTTCTTCCTCAGTGCCACAAGGATGATCTTTTTAGCAATTTTTTGCTCAAAGTACAGAAATGGGATTCCACAGGGTTGTGAAAGAGAACCCGCTGACACACTGTATACCGATGCCTTGTGAGGTTCGCAGACAGTAGGACAACAGGAGCCAATGGGGCTTACTGACAGTAATCTCTCAGGAGGTGAGACCCCCAGGACCACAGACAGTGAAGGGGATGTCTGAGGGCCCTTGGGCCTAACCCTGCCAGTCGTGACCTCAGGAGGATATCAGACAGTGGGGTTCTCGGGGTTCTCCTTACCCCGTCCTCTAGCTGGGTGAGGAGACAGGGCAGCTCTCTTCCTTCTCACCTGCCTCTTCAAGGCAGTGCTGCCAATGTGTTGACAAGACAGTGAGCCAGGCTTCCTTTGGGAGGTCCATTATGTGGGAGGGTTTGGTGCTGCTGTGACCCTGCACTGTCTGTAACCAAGGGTGCCGACTGACAGCTTGCTTTCTTCAGGCAGAGGCAGACCGTCTTGATGTTCTGGAAAAATTCCAAGGGAGGTGCGAGCCAACCTTCCTGTTTTATTTAGTAAGTATCTTTGCAGAAGCAGAACTGTTTGTGTGACTGCAAATCACTGGTGTTCGGATAGATGCGTTGGTTCTCAGAGCCACCTGAGGCCTCAGGCACTCTAAGGGGTGACGCTGCCCCTGACATGCCCTCTAGACTGCCTCACGAAGACCTTCCCTAAGACATGGCCATACACAGGTGTACTCAGCCCTGCCTGTGGGCCCCGGTCCACAGGAGATCAAAGACACAGCTCCATGGTGGCCACTGAGGGCTGGACAGCCTTCCCAGGTGACCGTGCATGGCGAGGAGCACATGTCCTAGAGCGCGCACGCTCTGACTTGCCCGCTGGGCACTCCAGGCTGCAGCTCTATTCTCAGAGCACAGTTCTGAGATTTCTCCTCTCTGCCAAGGGGAACTGAAATGATTACATTGTAGATAAAGAACTGTGGTTCTCCTCCTGCCAGGAGCTGTCTCCCAGCAGCCCACAAAGTCAGGAGGGACACAGTGAGCAGTGCACAGGGATCACACATCCTGGGAACCACTTCAGGGAGCTAGTTCAACTTTAATTCCAGAGAACAAAGGCCATTACCCCTTGGGGAGTGTTTGGGGGGGGTGAGCTCCAAGGATAGGTGTACATAATTGGTTGGAACCAGGCACTTTAAGGACGCTGGGTTTGCACTTAGCAGTACTACCTTTCTCTTTGTTGTTGTCCATGCATGTTACAGCACTCACATGGGGGTCAGATGATGGCTGGCCCTCTCCTTCCACCATGTGGGTCTTGGGGATTGAAGTCAGACCATCAACCTTGTTGGGAGGCATCTTTACCTGCTGAGCCACCTTGCCAGCCCCACACTAGAAACTTAGGCTAGAATACCACTTGAGGGCTGGAGAGATGGCTCAGAGGTTAAGGGCACTGGTTGCTCTTCCAGAGGTCCTGAGTTCAATCCCCAGCAATCACATGGTGGCTCACAACCACCTATAATGAGATCTGGTGTCCTCTTCTGGGCTGCAGGCAGGACCCTATATACATAATAAATAGCACTTAAGTTTTGTGTTTTGGTAGGGAGACCCACCAGCTTCTGTGATGGCTGTATGGCTGTGGTGGAGGGGGAGAAAGAAAGTTTGGCTGGAAGAAGACAGCCGTGCCCAGCCAGCCACACTAGCCTTCAGAGCTGTCAACGAAGGCAGCCCTTAGCAAAGTTATTTGACTGCTTAGGCCAAGGTGGTTAAAACAAAAATCATAATCAGCTGTGGGAATTCAGGCCACAATCTCCAACCTGTAGCTGATCAGGGAGGGATGGAGAGAAATGGAAGCAGGACCATTCTACAAGAATTCTTCAGATTAATTTCTCAGTGCTAAACAGAGAAAGTGAATGCAGAAAACTCAGGCCCACACTACTCATGAGCTACCACAGCCTGTGCTGGGAATTTATTCTTCCCCTTCCATGCTGGGGTAGAACACGAAGTCCCCTGTTAAAGCCGTCATCTTATTGTGTGTTTTGCACCGAGGCATTATCACGTCTTTTTGAGGTTAGTGCTTATATTCTCTGTCTCAGCCGGAGTGCTTGGTATAGTAAGTACTCAATTAATAGTTGTTAATAAGCCACATACAAAGCACAGTTAATCCCACAATTTTCTGTGTATTGTTCCTCCCTTCACTATCCGCTGGTTGTCCTGAAGGAAGCTTTGACAAGAGGGATGTCAGGAAGAAGATGGAGCTCAGAGAGAGATCATTTCAGAACTAAGAGCCATCTTGAGGGCCTCTCGGTGGGATGGGCCCCACCCAGGAAGTGGCAGCAGGGGTGAGGGTGGAGGAGGTGGGCAGAGGGTTGAGGAACCTTGACCTTCACACCCTCGTCTCCTGAGAGCACTGACCTGCTTCGAGGAGGCTTTCACGTGGTATGTCACACATTCCAGGGAGGAAAACTTGTGGCTGTGGTGAAGGGAGCGAATGGCCCCCTGCTTCAGAAGACCATCTTACACCAGCTGGAGGCCAAAAAGAAGGTTCAAGCTGAAGGCAGGGAATGGAACGTGGTATGTGGAGGTCACTTGTCCAACTGGAAGGCTCACAAGTGTGCTCACACGGGTCCCCTCCCCAGGCGGAAGCCTTCATGTCCCACACTCAGCCTTTTCTTCACCCAGGGGCTTGGGAGGATGTGCTTTTAGAAGTCTCTTTATCCTCTTTCCTTTCCAGAGCCCTTGGAACATCTCTTATCCATTTCACTCACAACTGAATTTTTAGTAACGACTTCAGAGAGGAAGATAAATATATAGAATTGAGTGGTGACTTAGTCAGCCTTTTCTTTCTATATCAAAATACTCAAGATAATTGTCTTTTTTTTCCATTTATATTTATTTTTTTATTTATTACAATTTATTCAGTTTGTATCCCAGCTGTAGCCCCCTCCCTCAACCCTTCCCAATCCTGCCCTCACTCCCTCCTCTCCTCCAATGACCCCCCATCCCTCCCTCCTGTCCACTGATAGAAAAGGTCCTTCTCCCCTTCTATCTGACCCTATCAGGTCTCATCAGGATTGACTGCATTGTCTTCCTCTGTGGCTTGGTAAGGCTGCTTTCCCCCTCAGGGGAAGGTGATCAAAGAGCCAGCCACTGGGCTCATGTCAGAGACAGCCCCTGTTCCCCTTACTAGCATACCCACTTGGACACTGAGCTGCCATGGGCTACATCTGTAGGGGTTCTAGGTTATCTTCTTGTATGGTCCTTGGTTGGAGTATCAGTCTCAGAAAAGGCCCCTGTTGTTCTCCTTGTGGAGCTCCTGTCCCCTCTAGGTCTTTCATCTCCCCCTTATTTCATAAGATTCCCTGCACTATGCCCCAAAGTTTGGCTATGAGTCTCAGCATCTCCTTTGATACACCGCTGCGGTGGAGTCTTACAGAGGCCCTCTGTGGTAGGCTCCTGTCGTGTTCCTTGTTTTCTCCCTCTTCCGATGTCTATCCTGTTTGCCTTTCTGAATGAGGATTGAACATCTTACACAGGGTCCTCCTTCTTGCTTAGGAATATCAAATGGCAGAGAAACACTTAAAGAAATGCTCAACATCCTTAGTCATCAAGGAAATGCAAAACAAGATGACCCTTACACCCATCAGAATGGCTAGGATCAAAAACTCAAGTGACAACACATGCTGGAGAGGATGTGGATAAAGGGGAACCCTGCTCCACTGCTGGTGGGAATGTAACCTTGTACAACTTTGGAAATCAATCTGGCGCTTTCTCAGACAATTAGGAATAGTGCTTCCTCAAGATCCAGCTATACCACTCCTAGGCATATATCCAAAAGATGCTCAAGTATACAACAAGGACATTTGCTCAACCATGTTCATAGCAGCTTTATTCATAATAGCCAGAATATGGAAACAACCCAGATGTCCCTCAACTGAGGAATGGATACAGAAATTGTGCTCCATTTATACAATAAAATACTACTCAGCTATTAAAAACAAGGAAATCATGAAATTTGCAGGCAAATGGTGGGAACTAGAAAAAATCATCCTGAGTGAGTTATCCCAGAAGCAGAAAGACACACATGGTATATATACTCATTAATAAGTGGATATTAGACATATAATATAGGATAAACATGCTAAAATCTGTACACCTAAAGACAATTGTCTTTTAACGTGGAAAGCTTCATTCAGGCTCACAGCCTAGGCTTCAGTCCAGGCTTACTCAGGTCTGCCACTTTTGAGCCCGTGTTGAGGCAGCCTGTGAAGGCTGTTCATCTCAGAGAGGTTGGAAAGAATAACCTCCTCTCCCAATCACCTTCAAGCTCACTCCCCTCATCACCTTTATGGCCCCATCTCTTTAGGTTTCACCATTTTGCCAGGCTGAGGACCCTAAGTTTGAGAAGTGAGCTTTTAGAGTAGTCAAGGACACTATAAGAAAACCCACAAAATCAAGCACCCTAGTGGTATCTAGTCTTCTTGTAACTTGATATGCCATGTTTAGTTGATATCCATGGAAGGCCTGCCTTTTTCTGAAGAGAAACAGAGGAGGAGTGGATGGGGGGTGGGACAGAGGGGAGGCTTTGGGGGAGAGACTGGAAGGAGAGGAGAGAAGGGAAACTGTGATCAGGATATTTAAAAAATGTATTCTAAGAAATATATTATAAAATAAATATCTGATGGGGAAAAAAAAGACATAGTCTTTTGGGGAATACCCAAACTACAGCAAATTATAGGAGGGTCTCCCCTCAGGCTCACGGTACAATCTCTTCTGATGACTCACACACTCGAACTCCTGAAGGTTTTTAGCTGTGATCACACACAGGTCAATTTCCTTAATTTAGAAATCTAGCGTTTTTATTACCACTGGGGACAGAGTCACCATAACTTGTGGCTCTGAGAAACTAGTTCCATAATAATATGGACCGCACCACCTTCACAGTTAACTGGCAACCTTTAAAAAAAAAAAATCCATATGCCGTAAGTACATGGAGGTATTCCCAGGCACTCTGTGCTTCTGCCGAGAACACAGCACTGCACCCTTGGGTGCTCACTGTCCAAGCTTTCATACTAAGGTTCAAAAAGCACAGACCTTTTTTTTTTTTCTCTGCACGGGGGGGGGGGGGGGGGGGGGGGGCTTAGCCCTTGTATTTGAATGTCAACTGCCATTGAATGCCATTCTTTATCATCCCTTAGTCTCTACTTACATTTCGTTAAGAGGCAGGCTCTAAAGCTCACAACCATCAAGGATTCTCCACACACACACACACACACACACACACACACACACACACACACACACACACACCATCCGCTACTAAAAAGGCCCTTGTTGCCCAAACTCTGATGACCTTGTCCTCATCCCCAGGGCTTATTATGCTCTGTGTTTTGAATCTCTGTATTTTGATGCTGTCTCTGAAGATGTTGAAAGCCTTCACCATAATTTGCGTTGGCTAAATCCCTTGTATTCGTGACTGACTTGTCCTAGGTTGCTGATGAGGCTCTTTCTGGTGCAGCCAAGGGTGGTCCACTTGAAAAGGATGATGGTGAAGATTGGGACATCGGTGAGTGCGGAGCCGGCGAGCTAGGCAGACTGTATGCATTTTAAACACCGGACTCAGTAGGCTCTTGGGCCATCTCAGTTCTGGGAAGCTAGCCTTGAGCATTTTGTTTTCAATCCTTGGCTTCAAACAACTGGTGTCAGATATCCTTTTGCCCACTGGTGGCCTCACGGGCACACTTGACACCTGTCTGATGATATTCAAATATGACTTTGATGGCAATCATTGGACATCAGGAAGTGATTAGAGACTTCACTAATAATAGAGAAGAGGAGCAATGAGTTCTGGCTAAGCTGGGGAGTTCAAGTTTTCCTTACTGCCCTCTCTATAAAGCACCAGGAGCCCTCTCTCTTCACAGCCTTGCTTCCTCTGCTCACAGCCCTACCACCTCCCCCCTTCATTCTCTAGCTATCGGCCTTAGGTCTCATATGCACTTCATTGTGTTCCTTCCTGAACCTTCCTGTGAAGAGTGGCTGCCTGAGTGTGAGGACCAGAGAGTCAGACAGGCTGCGGCTGGGAAGATGTCTCGAGTTAAATGGCCAAGATGCCTGGGAACTGGGACTGGATGCAGCTAGTAGAGAAAAGCTTGAGATTCGTGGCTGTTTCTCACAGGTGCACAGTAAGGACCACTGGGCCTGGACTCTGATAGGACAGGAAGCATGGCTTCAAAAAGCCAGGAATCGACAGAGAAGACAATCTGTGATTTGGTTCTCACATGAAACAATCTTTCTGCCTTATTACCTCTTCCCTCCTCTGTTATATCCTCCACAGTCAACACAGACGCCTTTCTCTCCCTTTGCCTCTTCTCCTTCTCAGTTAAGATTCATGAACTTTGTCCACATCTTGGTGCCACCCCTCACCTCCTCTCCTGCTGACCTTCTGTGGCCTTCGTCTGAACCCACTGCTCTTGGAAGGGCGCTCTTGAGAGTCACAGTGGCCTTCCTGCTGCCCAAGGCCACAGTCTCTTGCTGCAGAAAAGGTTGAAACTCATGGTGTTTGTGTGCCTTCCTTCTCGGTGCCCCCACGCCTCCACAATGTGTGTTTATCGGGAGATGGAGCCCTCATGCATGCTAGGCCAATGTCTCCACCTCTGAGCTACAGCTCAAGCTCCCTCCCTCTGGCTTCTGAGACAACATCTTTTTCTCCAGCCTCTTTTGCTGGGTTTCCCCTTCAAGCCAAGGCTGGCAGGCCTTGAAGGCCTCATCTCTTCTCCCTCTACCCTTTAGGTGATCTCATAAGCCCACCACATCACAGAATCAATTGTAAGAGTACCTTAATAGCAACTCCACAGCCCATCAGAAACCGTAACCAGGGAAAAGTTAACAGTCTTTTGCTAAGGGTGACATATACTGTGCAAGTCGGACTTCCATCACCATTCAAAAGATTTGGGATAATCAAGATTTTTTTTTTATTTTAGCTCAGATATTTGGAGGTTTCTGCCCACAATCAGTTTGTCCAGATGCTGGGAGCCTGTGGGAAAGGGGCACAGGAAATGAACACGGCCAGGAGGCCAAGGAGCTGGAGCGCCACAATGCTCTGCAAGAGCATAAACCCCGATGCCTGGCCACCTGTCAGTAGGTCCCTCCTTTCAAAGGCTCAGCCACCTCCCGACAGGGCCACAGGCTGGGGACCAAGCCTTTAGCTTGGGTCCTTAGGAGCTATTTATCCAATGGCTAGCACATATGTATTTAGTGCAGGCTTTACAGATACTCCCAGTAGAAACCCTCCTTAGATACAGATGTTTTTGTTTCATTGTGGCACAACAGACACAAAGGTTGAGAAGCAGAAAACTGATGGTGGGATGTGTCAGTTCTGTAGAGAATGCAGATAACTTACCAAGGCCAAGTTCATGTAAATAGGAGCCCAACAAAGATGGGCTCCAGGACTAGACAAAGTGCTCCCTACAGAGTTCCCTATAAGTTTGGACCTAAGCGACCTCTGACCACCAAGGTTGATCCCCAACACCATGAAAACTAAAGCTAAAACCAAAACAACGATAATAATAATTTAAAAAAAAGGGGGGGGGGGTTCAACCTGCTCTGTCTGACCTTCTTTTGGGGAATCTGAAGCAAGACAGAGATTTGAACCTGCAATTAATAGCCTGTGCTAGAGTAGAGAATCACAAAGTTCAGATACAGGGCTTGGAACAATCATTTCTGCCACCAAGCAGGAAAGGCAAAACCAGTAGGGGGCTGAAGAGAGGCTCAGTGGCTATGAGCACCGGCTGCTCGTCCAGAGAACTCCCAGGATACACATGGCAGTTAACAACCGTCTGTAACTCAGTCTCAGGAGATCTAATGCCTTCTTCTGGTCTACATGGGTATTGTATGCTCATGGTACACAGGCATACATGTGGCAAAACATCCACACATCTAAAATAAATTTGTTTTGCAGAAGCAAAAAAGAGGAGAATGAGAAGATGATGGGCAGCAGTTAATGCTGAGAACCACAAAAGGGGGACAGGAAGGCATGAGGGTGGCTGAGACTGTGACCTCAGCTCCTGTGTTTCTTGCTCACCCATCTCCAAGCACCTCATTTAGTCATTCCAAATTTCTGCCCCGTAACAATCTTTTGGAAATGTCCACCCCTCAGTGTCCCTAGACCAGCATTCAGAGAGTCTAAGTCAGGCTGGGGTTCTTGGTTGGGGTCTGGTGCTGGGTTGGTGTCATTCGCTAGAGTCTGAGCCTAGACAGCAGAGGCTGGAAGCCTGAAGCCCACGCCTAAACCTGGTACTCGGTGCAATGGAGCCTGTGCTGAAACAACACTGTCCCTGCAAATGAGGCTCCCCAAGAGCCTCACCGTCTGACAGCGCCTCCCCTGGCTTATTTCAGTGTCACGAGAGGAGCCCTGTACATTAGGCATCATTAAGCCAGATGCAGTGGCCCACGGAAAGGCTGATGAGATCATCATGAAGGTAGGAGGCACAGGACATACCGTGCCCGACTGCTCTCAGGTCCCCTGCGGCAGATCCACAGGGATGAGGGCAGCAGCGCCTGTGGCGTGCTGGGGAAAGAAGGCTCCTGCTGAGTGCTAACCCCAAGTCTATTCAAGGTTAGGACGGGGTTAGATCTGGGGGCAGGGGCTGAGGCTCTGCATCACTTTTAGTGGTGCCCACCTTTAGTTTTTATCTTTCCATTAAGATCCCTGGAACTGTGGGCTTGAATCACACCTGCAGAATATACATTATATATACATTATACACATTACATATAATGTATATAATATATATAATGTGTAATATAATATATACACTTATATAATTATATCTAATACATGGTATAATATATACATTATATATATATATATATATATATGTATGTATGTATGTATAATGTATATTCTGCAGATCCAGGAAGCAGGATTTGACATACTATCAAATGAAGAGAGAACCCTGACAGAGACGGAAATGCAAGCGTTCTATCAACACAGAGCTGGGGAGGTCAGCTCATCTGCTTCTCACTCTCTCCTCTCCTCCTCCTCCAACACTATATGGATAGGTCAATGGGAGTTGTGGGGAGAATGTGAAGAACAAGAATATGAACAGCTGGTGGGCAGGTAATGGATTTACACTCAGAATATGATCAGATCCTGTTCAGCTCAAGTTCAACTGTTGCAAAGTAGAGAGGTTTTTGACTGTCAGTAATGGACTAAAGATGTTCGTTAGAAGGATGCTCCGTAACTCCCTGATGTCATGGCAGAATATGAAAAAGCTTAACAAGGGGTCTGGAGATAAGAAGAACCAAGAAAGTTCTCGGGCCCACAGAAGCCAAAGCCAAAGTTAGGCAAACCATCCAGGACATCTCCACCTGCCACTTAAGGTCCACTTGCGTCTTCTGCTTGCTTCTGATTTGTACAGATGACCACTCTTAAGCCATAGCACCACTTCCTAGGTCAGATTTGTGATGGTTACTAAGCGTCATGGTTGTGAAATGAGGAACAAATGAAATGGAGGAGGGATCTTCCCCAAAGGGAACCCAGGATACTGTTATTGAAGGAAAAGGGCTGCAGGGCACAGGAGGGGAAGTCCCATCTACACTGTACCCTTGGATATCCAACAGCCATATATAACATATCCAAACAGATTATACGTTTAGCAAACCACTGCCCAACTCAGCCCATGTTCAACCCTGGCTCACCTTGCTGGGGTCTTGGGTCATCACTATCATAGCAGGCAGAGGTGGCCAGGCCAGGGCTGAATGTCCATGCGTACACAAGGCTGCTCATGACCTCCCTTCCAGTGTGTGGGTAGCCTGGGTTTGCTGGCCTTTTCCAGTCTCAGTAGCTCCTGCTCCACATCACTGTTTCCTTTCCTGTGCCTAGGAGGCATTTGAAAAGCTAGTCCATCACATGTGCAGTGGACCCAGCCACCTCCTGATCCTCACCAAGACAGAGGGCACTGAGGATGTAGTCACCGCTTGGCGAACCTTCCTGGGGCCTTGTGACCCCAGCGTGGCCAGGAGGGAACATCCTGAAAGGTGACAGTAATCTTTTCATCCACCTCAAGCTTCACTTGGCATTTGGGTCAGAATTGTGAGTGATGCTATCAGCTCTCTGGTGTCAGGGGTTCCATTTGTATATACCTGGGAGGTTTTCAAAACTCTCCAACATGGGGTTACCACCACCACCCCCTTCTAAAGATGCTGGTTTGGCTTAGTCACAGACCTCAGGGACCCAGTCCAGCCTGGCAAGTCAAAGGCTGCAGAATGGCCTGCACTGTAGACTCAACTCCCATAGCCCTCAAGTCAGCTTCCTGTACAGCACACCTACTTAGACCTGCTCAGCCTGCTCTGTGACTCAGGGAGCAGCTAGCCTGGAGTCAACAGTGCCAAATCCAGGGGCCAGGGGCCTTTGAAGCTGACAGACAACAGGAAAGAACTTGTCAAAACAAAATAAAATAAAACAAAACAAAACACCAATGCCCAGGATGGAGATGGCTGAGTGCAATTTCCAGTAACCACAAGGTGGCTCAAAACCATCAATAATGAGACTGGGTGTCCTCTTCTGGCCTGCAGGCAAACATGCAGGTAGGACACTGTATCTATAATAAATCTTAACAATACAAAACAAACCCCTAAAGCCCTATAGCTGTACTTTTCAGCCATAAAGGGCATCTAACTGAAGCCACTGGGCTAAATAAAGCAGCTGAGGACTCGGACCTGAAGTCGCTACCTAACGGGTCAAGTCCATCCGGGGCTTCAGTTCATTTCTCCAGGCTGTAATGAGAGGACATCCACTATCAGGCACTAAGATCAGTGCTCAGCGCATGGCTCCTACCTAGTGTTATGGGTCTTATCAAGATTAGTCATAAAAAGCTGTATGATGTGTCGCATACAGTGACCTGACCCAGTGGGAATTGTAGCTCCCTCTGGGCAGAAGTGGAATGTGGCCAGATCCTGTGTGTAACAGCCCCTGGCCAGTGTGGCTTCTGTTCTTGGGTTCTCTACAAAGAGCAAGTACCCTTGTTCTGACTGGTAGCTGGTGGTCCTGCTCCCAGAGAGCAAAGCATTTCTGTTCAAGTGAAGCAGTTGTTTCTTTTACATTGTACCAATGCTCCCAGTCTCCGGGCTCAGTATGGCACAGAAATGCCCTTTAATGCTGTGCATGGAAGCCGGGACAGAGAGGATGCCAAGAGAGAGCTGGCCCTGCTCTTCCCCAGTCTCAAGTTTTCAGATGAAGACATGAAATCCCCACAGGGTAAGTTGTCAAGGCAGATTTCTTTATTAAACCTGAGGTGAAAGCCATTTATGATTGTGTGTGTGAAACTAATGACTCGCCTCCTAATTAGCCATAAAGTCCTGTTCTGAAACACAGATCTCCATGAAACTGGTGTCAACATTAAATCATTTGGTGCATTTATTGAGCAATAGGGCTGCTTTTTAATACCATATTGGTTCTTCTTCTTCTGTCCTTTTCTTCTTCTTCCTCCTCCTTTTCCTTCTTCAAGTCCTAGTTCCACTGAAAAGACACTTTGCCTTTCTGCAAATCATGAGGAAAATCTCACGACTTTCAACAAATTAAAACTTTATTTTTATGCTATGCTTTGCACTTTAACCTCCCACCCCCAAACACCCCTGCACCCCACAAATCTCTCTCTAGTGTTCATTTTGTTTTATGATCCTAAGATTAACGAGGGTCATCTGTGTTCAAAGCTGTTAGCGAATGCCTGGAGGACAGAGAGAGAGAGAGAGAGAGAGAGAGAGAGAGAGAGCACCACAATAAGGATGGTGACTCTCTCCTAACATCTACTGACAGTCAAGAGTTTAGAGGTAAAGAGTGGGACCTCATGAGGCAAGCCTCCTGTGGGCCCCATGCAGGTGACAACAGCTGATGTGAGTTAATGATTACAGCAGTTTTCTGAGGCTAGGGAATGGTGCTTGGTGGCCCCGAGCCTTTTAGAGGGGGTGGTATGTGACTTACTTAGGGCTGGGCCCATACCTGCCACTCATGTTCTGCAGGCATAAATCTTTATTCATGCCCACTGACAGGGGAGGTTTCTCTGATGAAGGCTGAGTGTTACCATTGTCTATGGGTCTCAGCACTGGTATTCAGAAGGCAGATGCTAATAATTCAGTTAGCTGTGGGCAATACATTCCCCAATACATGGGCCTACTTCTCCTCATACCTGGATTGTTAGCTAGGCTAAGGGGCACTGGTCCTATCCTCTTGGAGGACTTGAATCCACGCAGATGACAGTTGGTTATCCTATCAACAGTCAAGCTGCTACTGTGTATGTGGGCAGACCTTACTTTCCAAATGGCTTCTTCATACTTGGTAAAGTTGATCTTCTGCCCATCCTGCATCCTCTTCTCCCCAATCTCAAGACCTCCATTCCTAAACCTTCCTAGTCACACTGCCCCTTCTTTTTAATTTTGTTATACTATGTACTATGTGCCTTGCCTTAAGGTAATCCTTACCTTACATCACCTTCCTTGCTTGCTTGCAGTCCATGTGATATGGACCATACTGAAGAGTCGACATTATGGTCCTCATGAGAGAACATTTATCCATTTGGGCCTGGGTTACCTTAAGCTATTTTTTCCCCCAATTCCATTCATTTCCCTGCAAATTTCAGTTTTTTGTAGAGATGAACAATATTCCTCTGTGTCTAGGGAAACCTTGATTATTCATCAGTTGCTTCCGTTTCTTAGCCGATGTGAACAGGACAGCACTGACCAAGGGCAGTTTCCTGTCACAGGGCCTAGAATCCTTTGGGTGCATGCCAGGAGTGGTGTCTTTTGAGAACCCTCCAGGCTGGCTTCAGAGTGGCTGCAGTAGTTTACATCTCTTCCCCCAAGTCTGCCCCACCATTTGTCACTGGTATTCTCAGTAGCTGCCATCCTGTTGGTAGGAACTGGAATCATAAAGCGGTTCTAATCTGCAACTTCTTAACGGCTAAGGTTGTTGAACACCTTTAAAAGTGTTTTTAACCATTTGTGAAATTTTAGTAACTTTCTGAGGCTCTCTTCAAGGCCAGGTGTCCTTCTCCTGTCCCTGTGCCCTCCTCCCTTCCCTGGCAGGCTTGCTGAGAAGCCAGACTGTGTAGCTGGGGCCCCTTTTGAAGCCTGCTGTGGCCCTGTGGCCCTCAGCCCTTATTATAGTGGGCTGTGAAAGCTCACGATCTCTCCCTCCATGGGAAGCACTCATGGTGCCTGGGCAAGATGGGTCAGGCCATCCCCTTCTCCAGATGTGGATGAGAAACCAGTCTAGGGGCACAGAACATTGATTCTGTAGCCAGTGGAAGAGCTGGCTTCAGCGAGCGCCGAGGCTGCTGTGAGGTGAGAGGAATGAACAGTTAGTTTCCTAAGAGGAGGCAAGCCAGGTGGTGGTGGCCTTTAACCCCCCCAGCACTTGGGAGTATGGCTCTGTGGGGGACCCAGAGACCAAGTTCACATATCCAAGCACATGTGTTCTTTGGTCCTCTCATGTTGGAGGGCAGCCCTGCCAGAGCCAGCTTCAGGGCCATGACTGGAGGCACAAAGCTGTAACTCAGGGCCAACCTGAGGTAGGTGGAAGTGAAGTGACTAGAAACAGTTGCCTAGGGATTCTGGGGAATGCTGGAGATCTGGGATCTGACATTTTGGCCTCAGCTGATAAATCAAGGAGACAGTTCTAGAAGGGTCTGGGCCCAGATGACAGGTGGCTTCTGTGAAGGAGCCTCAGTGGGAGGGACACACACCTTCCCTCACTCAGCCCTTTTCCTCTGGAGACAATTCCTGCCTCCACTGTTCATCAGCTCAACAGCTTCTGGAAATTACTTACCTTTGCTGGGTCCATTTGTTCCTGTGTGAAGTACAGACAATGATAGGTTCATTAAAACCCCAAACTAATAATTCCTAAACACCATCTTCCTCACAGATCTGTTGTGAAGATGGAGACAGGATGTAAAGGTCTAGCCTCTATAACTGACCTCATTCTTACAATTCTGTAATCATTCCTCCTAGCACACCCACTAGGAACACTTTTCTCAACACACTTGTCAACACGCTCCAGCTGTGTCCCCTGTGTTTGTTTGTTTTTTGAGGGGGTGGAGGAAGCTGTTTCAGGAATCTTATAAAACAATGTCGCCCACCCCCTCCCAGGTGCTGAGGCACAAATCGTGGTGGGCCCCATGGAGGCCCTTGGCATCTCTGAGAGTATCTGAGCACTGGGATGGTATGCTGTGTTCTGCCAGGATCAAGGTCACAAGGCCACAAGAGGGGCCGTTGGTGTGCTCACATCTGCACAGATCTCCAGAGGATGATTTCAGAGCACCAGCATGTTCCTGGCTTAGCCCTATTTTGTGGACAATAAAAATATATATCCTTCCCTGCCTTATTAACTGTCTACAGAACATACCCTACCCTCTAATCACTGTACTCTGAGGCATGGTGTCACCTCAAAGGACACTGGGTCTCCCCACCAATAAATCTGATTTGATCCAAGCTTGGTAGCCTAAAAAAACATCCATTATTTGTGTGTGTATCAGCTGATAACGTACAATGGTCTCCTTCTAGCATCTGGGTATCTGGAAGTCATCAAGCGTGGCATCAGGAGCCTTTCTTGACTTGCTGGGCCATCTCAGCAGTCCCAATTTAGTAACTTGAGGATTTGAAGTTAGGTTGATAGTTATGCCACAAACTGACACAGAACACAGCGAACAGGCTTTGGTATGGCACTGCCCACGTCACCTCAGGTCGCAAGGGCAGCCACGGACGGTGCACTCCGTTTGGCTTCTGATGCGGCTAAAGCCCAGTCTTAAGACCTGATCATGTGCTCCCGTGGGGCCAGACAGCCTTAAGTTTTCACTGAGTTGCTGGCAGAGCTGCCCCTTCTTTTGAGGGATATAAGATTTGAGTAAGAAGTAGAACCCTGTGATGTTACGGCACATGCGTGGCAACCCACGATTGCCTTGCTCTTGCGTTCTGAGTTGGCAAAACCCAGGCACACCCCACTCTGAGGAAAGGCTGAGTTCTTCCATACCATGAGGAAAATGCCAACACCCCCTTGCTGGTCTTCTCTAGGAGCTCACTCTGTGGTTGTAGGCTCTCGGTAGGTAGTTAGCTCTCAGATGCCAGCTCTTCACTGTGGGCATCATGTTCTGTCTACCTGACCTAAGACCTCCATTGGCCATAGTGTAGGAGCGGAAAAGGCCGGCCAGGCTGCCTGAAGGTAGGAAAGGTGTGAGACAAGGCATAAAGTTCTATGACCTTAGTTCACCTCTGATGTATACCCACATTATACTCTGCAGGCTCTGTCCTGGGCTCCCTCATAACACTGTGGACTCAGCAGTTAGGATCTACTATTCCAAACTCCAGGCACATAAAGCACTGTGGGCCATTGTGTGCATGGGCTCTAGAGGCCTACCATGCTACAGCTTTGACATAAGCATTGATAAAGCTCCAAACTATAGGAGTGTGTGCATTCAACTGACAGCTACCTCATCTCCCCAAAGTCAGGATGCCGGGGGCTTATCTCTGGCAAGAGGAGAGCTGGAGCAATGGAGGCCTCTACAAGCAGGGGAAAGAAGGAAGAGTGGGTTGGGAACTGGGCCTGAGGGTGAGATGTTTGTGTTAGCGACAATGTGAGCCTTTCCCAGGGGGCAGCTGGGAGGATGAGGCTGTGCAGTGAGGGCACAGCACTGTCACGGGGACACGCACCTCTACTGCTTTGGTCTTGAGGATGCTTTGGGCTCAGCATTGCACTGCTTTGAAGAATCCCTAAGATCCTTGGCTTAAGAATGGAGTTTGGGAAGGGGCTCCAGTGAGTGGCTAAGATCAGGCCACCCTTCCTTGGCCTGGCACCCCTAAGAGAAATCAGCCAAAAGGCAGCTTCTGGATAGGGCTTTGAGATCTCCGTTCCTCTGTTCAAATGTCCAATGTGAGGGGGCAGAGGGGCAGCTTGATGCTAAGGGCTGGCCGTGGCCTGCCCTCCAGCGTTGCTGCCTGGCAACTCGGAAGCAGACACCTGGAGCTGCAGAGACAGTGGGTGGCTCTGCCAGCTGCACCGCAGTCCTCACAGCTCCCTCAGCTCTCCTTGAGGACAAGACTTGAAGAAAAACTCTACTAGGGAGAAACAAACGAGCCTCTGCTCATGATTCTCTGAGAGATGAATATCAGGGGCAGGGAAGGGCAGCAGACCCACCCCAATTTTCAGGTGCCGGGACCCCCTCTGCTGGGTCTATGCCAAGACCTGGAGTGATAATGTCCCCTTCCTCAAGCCTTGCACATGTTCCCTAGGAAAGTTTCGAGAAGGGAGATGACTGGCCATCCACCTACAGTCACTCTGTGTTCCCCAGAGAACCCTGCCATCAAAATTCCCTCAACACCCACCCCATTGTCGTCCTCTGTCCTCATGCTCTGGAGCAGGTATCCCTGGCTTTCTGTTTCCAGCGAGGCCTTGAACTGGGAGCTGTGATGAGGTTTAGTTCAGAAGGTAGCACAGGAATGAAATGAGGAACACCTGTGTCCCTGCAGAAGGAAAGTGGTTGGTCACTTGTCAAACTCAGTCTGACTTTAGTAGGTGGTAGCAATGGTGGTTCAGAGGGGCCGGTGAAGAGAAAAACACAGCATAGCAGGTTGGGGGTTGGTCTTGAGGTTGGGAAGGGGTACCTGTAGTCTGCAGGCTCTCTAGAGAGCAGGAGAAAGGAGTCTGAGGCCAGAGAAAGGAGCCCTGGGACTACTGCAGGTGCCTCTGAGAACCACGGCTGGCTTGAGGTACTGACCTCCACTCTGCGATGCAAAACCACCTCATAGTCCTTCACATACCACAAATCACAGCATCTAGAAGCCAGGCCACATGATCTTCTGCCATTTCCTAATGCTCCACTCACTTGGAAAACAGACTCCTTTTAAGAAGTTGCCATGACTTTTCTTGGCTTTTATTAGCATGTGTTAAAATCATATTATCCAAACACTACCAGAAGAACATATATTGTTCTGAATAAAGTGCTTAAGGAAAAAAATGCAACTTATTAAATTGGACATTCTTTTCTAGTTCATAAAATTTGGGTTACAATCAGGGCACAAAAGGAGAAACAGAATGCAGTATTAGAGCGAGAAGCTTCATTAAGAACTTGGGTGTAGACATAAGACCATGTCCCATCCTCCCCACTTCCTTGCTGAGCAAACACTGCACCTGCATAAAGCAGCAAACAGCTTTGTTTTAATAAATACATTTCCCTTCATTCAAATCAAAAAGTTAATCATGGTAAAGCACTTTTTACGTCACCATTGCTTATGCCCACAGGCAAGTTTTACCCACAGAGTTCACGGCATCTTCAGCCCTCTCATGCTATTTGGGTTCACGATTGTCTCGGCAACGTGTTATTGGTTTCTTTACATTTACTGGTACTTTCTAAAACTGACGCTGCAGTATCTTGTTACAAATGCTATGGGATGGCGCAGTCTCAGCACCAGGAGTGACAAAGAGTGGGCCCTGAGAAGGCTTCATTCCCAGTAAACTAGGCTTTCCTTAAGCTAGTTTTCTCACATTAGCACTCTGACATCTGCACAGAACCCAAGTTCTGTTGTGACAGCTTTTAAAATCAGTGAGGTTCTGGAAAAAACAACTTGGAAATCTCTGTGTTTGCATCTTGGGTGGTCATAAGGAGAACAGGAAACATTGCATTAAATACACTTAAAAACATTCGTTTGCAATCAACCATACTTAAGTCTTCCAAGGAAGGTGCAGGCTAGTGAGGGAGCAGCACTACCAGGAGTGGCTGGTGGAAGGGAGGGTGTGGGCGCCAACAGCTGCACACACTGCACGCTTCTGGACCACAGACCTCACATCCTGCCTGCCATGCTCCTCATCTTCTTCTAGTAAAAGGAAAAGGGAAAGGAAGGCTGGAAGGCTGTTTCTACCTCTGTTGAGTTTACTTTGAAGGGACCAGAAGTTGGAGCAGACACACACACACACACACACAAAAAAAAAAAAAAAAAAAGAAAAAAAAAAGAAAAAAAGCATTTTAGGTCATCATGGGGTGATTCCCTTCCCTTCTCTCAACATGAAGTATTTTAGCTTCATTCAGGAAAAGACTTCCTATCTCATTCTAGGAAAGCGCAGCACCCAGGAATCCTCTGCTAACGTGTGGCCTTTGATGGGACAGTTGAGCAACAGCCTCATCTTGCTACTTCTTTCTAGGATGTCTTGGCAGAACAAGCTAGTCTCACAGTGACCCATGCTGCTGCAGGAAGCACCAGGTGATCTGGCTTGTTTTCAGTAAGTGGCAACCTGCTTTCCAGGTCTGTTTCGAGACCCTGCCAGATACTGTCACACGAATGACAGGACTCAGGGATGCTGGGAGGCTTTCGATCCCCAGTCCTGTCAAAGGCAGCCTACCTGGTCCTTGATAGGCTTCCACTATCAGTAGCTCTATCTCCCTCTGATGTTTCAAAAATCTGCAATGATCCTATTTCCTCACTTTGCTCTACTCCGCTGTCCTTACGACTTGGAAGCCTGAGAACTTATTGGATTAGGCCGGAAAAAACAAACAAACAAACAAACCCCAAAAACCCGCAAAGGCTTTGTACCTGCTAATATTGATGGCAGTAAGATGCTAGCTTACTATCCGCACAGCACCATGTACAGCACCTGTTATTCAGGCAGACTGTAGCCAACTTTTTCTTTGTCTTTTTTTTTTTGTCTTTTTGTTTGTTTTTTTTTATAAAGAAAATCTATGTAAGTTGAGGTTCAGAAATGCATATATTTTTTTTACTTACAAATATTCATCTGACCAAAATTCAACATAACTTTTATGGAACACTAAACAATTGTTTTGCTTTTAAAATAACATTTCATTCAAACTGTATATAATTCAGTAAAGTTTTTTTTGTTTGTTTTTGTTTTTTATACAGCAAGCAATGCTTAAACCCTGGAAAATCTGTAGAAAAGAGATTTTCACACAAAATAAGAAAAGAAAAATCTGAGGTATCCCTCACTCACACGGCCATTCATTCTGACTCTCGTGCACACACATACAAACTCACACACACACGCACACACACACACAATCATTCTTGCTCACAAAGTGGCTGCAGCATAGGCAAAAAATTGAAGGTCCAAAGGAAAATTATTGATTGTTCTAATAAAGAGTCCAGGTAGCTCAGAAAACAAAACAAAACAAAACACAATAGTCCTCTGAGGAAATTACTACCTCAAAAAAAGTCTCAAGATGAATTTGAGATCTAAGCCTACTAAACTGCTTTGCAAAACAGCTCCCTGCAGTCCAAGGTGACGTGTGCAAATAGAAGGAGTCAAATGAGGCTAGCTCCTGTACTTCCTTATAAAAGGTGTGGGGTGATCGAAGGTGCCCAGGGCTCTCCCATCATGCCAGGTACTGCTGCAGCGCCGTCTTTGCCCTGAAATCACAAAGTTCCTGTTAGCCACCATCTCACAACTGTCACTGTGGGGGAAACCCTGGTGGTCAGTGGTAGCTGGGAAGGGGCTGGGTTGAGTCCAGCTGAGCACCTACCTTATGGGGTAGAGACTTATGGTCACCAGGCATTTTTCTCTCTTGGCTTCTCTTGGACAGCTCTTTTTACCCTTGAGCCTGCTATGGCTTGGTGACATTCCACATTCCCTGGCATGTGCTGACAGTCTACAGTGTTCCTACAGTTGAGATGGATCTGGAACTCCGACTTACTCTTACTGCTGTGTGGATTGTATGTATAGTGCATAGGACTAGGGGAAGACACTAGGAAGCTGATGCAAGTGAAGATGCTGAGGCCCATGGGGGGGCCAAGGGCCTGTGGGATAAAGATGCTAGGACCGGGGGGGGGGGGGGAAGGGCCTGTGGGATGAAGCTGCTTCCTGGTTCAAATGCCTCAGTCAGAACTATGAAGGTTATAGTTTGGCAGATGATAAAGAGAGGAAGTCCGGCTTTAGAAATAGTCTTTGTGCCTAGCTTACAGAAAGAAAATGCTAAAACTGGTAGCTGCTATTTGCTGATGAAAGTCATCCTAATTAGATCAAGCCAATGATAAACTAGACTCAATTACAGCTGCCACCCTAAGTCAAGGGTATAGTTTTAGAGTTTTCTGTTTGGTTCTCTTTGTGTGTGTTTGACAGTTTCTCTCTCTGGAGTCTAGAGAGGGTTCTAGTGGCCTAGAGCTCACTATGTAGCCTGTGCTGGCCTTGAACTTGCAATGATCCTCCTGCACCTGCTCCCCCAGTTAGCCATAATCCCCCATGCCGGAATTACATGCGTGTGCTGCCCCGCCTGGCCTTAATCTATAGTCTTTACAGTAGGGCACAAGAATTGCCTTGTTTAGTTGACAGGCTTTGCTGGGCATTTTGAACACATGAGGATCTTAATCAAAACCTTGTGTTAGTCTTTGAAGCTACCAATTCAGATCATGTAAAGGTACACATCTCTGACAGCACTAGAGAGACAGAGGTAGGAGCAGGATCACGAGTCCCAGGCCAGCCTGGGTCCTCCCACCCAAATAATGATGATCCAATTGTTAGATCTTTCTAGCTCTAGCAGGCTGTGTGACTACCTGGAGGCTCCGGAGGGAATGTTTACTGTGCTTATCTAAGGAGTCTTTCAGAGGGGATGGTTTTCAAGGACAGACAGCCTGAGTGGCTCACTCCTTGGTTCTTTTTCTTTCCTGAGGCAGAGCCTTGCCACAAAAGCCAGCTTGTAGCCCAAGCTGAACTCAAACTCACGATCCTCCTCTTAGCTTCCTGGGTATTGAGATCACAGGGGAGCGTACCCATTCACATATGGCTACCTTTTCTTTTAATAGGGGTTGGCATGAGGAAACTACCAAACACTTACATGCTCATAAACTTTGGCCTAAAGCAACACAGGCCAGAACCCAAACCTATTCTGTTCATGCTGAGGTCTTTCTCTGCACTCTAGATTCCCCCTAGAGACAATTTTAAGTAGAACTCTTCCTAGCGAATCTGATCAAAAGTCCTAATTAGCAGCCTGGCTCTCAGTCAGAAGAGCATTTAAGACAGTAGCTATAAAGGGAAGGCAGAGGCTACAGCCTGCAGCACGTACATGGCTTGGGCTCTATTTGCCTTTGGCCCTAGGCTCATCTGATCAGCACCTACATATTCCCCAGACTCATCTTCTCTAACCCATGGGACAATAAGATTCAAGAGGCATAAGTCCCACCTGCTCTGTATCCTCTGGGAGTCTAGAACAGCCCATTACTAGACAAACTGACACCTGAGACAGATACTGCGGGAGCAGAGCAGTGCTGGTAAGGTCGCTGAGGAGGTGTGGCTTCTTAGAAGGGGGAGTTCTGAAGCAGGAACAGCCACCACTGAGCATTTCCCTCCTTGCTTTCATGACATGCCTGTATGTCTGCTATCCCACTAGCTCTCCCTCCTGCTTCTCTTGTTGGAGTTCTTTCATCTGTCATAAATGTTGGCGGGTCCTGAATCTCAGTTCTTAGCACTTCTCTCTCAACTTATTTTTCTTCAGTGACTCCAGCTCCATAGCTTTGAGCACCGTTCAAATCTTCATCCAGTCATACCTTCCTGAGTCCTTAGATATCAAACAGGACAGGCACCCTAGAGTCAGCATGTCCAAATAAGAACTCAATTCTGTCTACCCCAACCTAATTCCCCCTTATCCACATCTTGGTAAACACAATGCCCTCTAACCAATGTTCAGGATTAAACCTAGGCACCTTTTTTATTTTGATTAAGACCCTCATGTGTTCAAAATGCCCAGCAAAGCCTGTCAACTAAACAAGGCAATTCTTGTGCCCTACTGTAAAGACCATAGATTAAGGCCAGGCGAGGCAGCACACGCATGCAATTCCAGCATGGGGGATTATGGCTAACTGGGGGAGCAGGTGCAGGAGGATCATTGCAAGTTCAAGGCCAAAACAGGCTACATATGCCTAGGCACCTTCCCTTTCTCTTGTTCTAAGGCTCCATACAAAGTCTGCAACAGTCCTGCTGACCTGCTTCTGTTTCCTTTGCTCAAAGTTCTCTAACAACTTCCTTTTAGAACCCTGAGTAAGGGCTAGAGAGATGACTCAGTGGTTAGGAGCACTGTCTGCTCTTCCAGAGGTCCTTAGTTCAATGCTCAGCAACCACAAAGTTGCTCACAATCATCTATAATGAGATCTGGTGCCCTTTTCTGGCATGCAGGTGTGCATATAGATAGAGCACTCATAAATAAAACTTAAGAGAAAAAAAGGAAAAGATAGAACAACAAATAAAAAAGCCTAAGTCCTTACAAAGGGCCTACAAAGCTCTCTGAGATCTGGTCCCTTCATTACCTTTCTCCAGCTCTACTACTCTTCAGCATATGATATTCAGTCCCGGATCTTAGGGCCTTTCAACTGCGCTCCCTGCCTGGAATAGTCTCCCTCTAACCTCTGACTAGAGGACTCTCATTTCAACCAAACCTATGATGAGCTGTGACACCCTCAGGCCTTTTCTGACTACACGGTATCAAAGAAATGTTCTTTATTCTTTATCGTACCTGTCATTACCTGATATATATACATTTGTTAGTGTCTGACTTTTGTACTAGGATTTAAATTGCACATAGGCAAGGACTTCACCAAGTTATTCACCTTTTTATACCCAATGCCTTAACTAGTGAAGTTACAGCAATACAGAGAGGGTAATTAAAAACAATTGAAAAAAAATTGAACAGTGGAGACATAAATGGAAAATAACTAAGATGGCAAGTCACATGGGACAGAATGTGTACTGCCTGAAGGCATGGCACTGTAAGCAAGCAGGTGTGGCTGCATTCTGGGGTGGGCATGATATAGGCACGGAACTGAGAAGAAGAGCCAGAACAGGAAGGCAAGAGGGCTTTTGCACTATCTTAACATGTAGAGTATGTTCCCTGCTGTTATTTTCAGAAGTGAGCAGGGGTGTGAAGGCTGTTGTTAGATAGTACAGGAAAAGCCTATCTTGGTGGGCAGGGAGAGGGGGGTAGGAAGGTTATTTTGAGGTTGGCTGGATCTCTGACTGTACGTCTGGCCCCTCCTAGGAGTGATGAGTTCCATACGACAAGGGCTCCCTTTTTCAATGGCATTAAGGTAGAGCTCAGTGAGGCTCTGAGCCAATGAGTATTTCACTATTGGGTCTCTGTGCTTCCCTGAAGTACCACACGAATTTCTATTTTAATGGTCAAGGGAATGTAAGGGAGCAACCTCTGGATGCTCTTCAGATAGCCACTAAGATGGCCCAAACTCACATTCATTCAGAATAAGATGACTGTTTACATCTCGAATGTCACTGCTGGGCGCTAGGGAGATGACTTAGTGGGTAAAGGTGCTTGCTGACAAGCACGATGTGATTTGACCACCTTCCACACCCACATGGTGCAAGAAGAGAACCAGACAATCGTCTTCTGACTTCCATACATGAGCCATGTGCACACACACCCACCCTTAGACATACATAAAATAAACAGATGTAAAAATAAATGCCACATCTGGGTCACGCAGTTAGGAATGAAGCACAGCGATCTAAAACTTAGAAGGCTGGCGGAACAGGTTAATAAAATCAGCTCAGACCTTTCACGACAGAGCCAACGACGGCCCACAGCATGGCCCTTTTATGTCCATACTCACTTGTCACAGAGGTTTGAGTCTGGCGACTGACTTAGTTTGTGCAGAATATCTACAATGCCCATGTCTCGCAATTTATCCTGGCGTTCCTGTGAACCTGCAAGATTGAAACTACATCAATGGGAATGTGATGCAGGACACTGCTCTCCTCCGCCTTTGCCAGGCATTGAGGCCAACCTTGTCCCCTTTTATGACCACTGTGTAGCTGGATCCCTTCATGTCTGAACTTCCTTTCAGCCTCTTTGCCTCTTGAACCCTCCTCCTTCCTGCAAGTCCACCCTAGGTTCTGCTGAAAAATTAATTCTTGCACCGACTTTGGAATCAGGATCACACTCTTCGGCCTGGCACAAGACCCTGTGTCACTAGGCTTTTTCACTCTTTAAGGACAAAGCAATAGTCTCTGGCAGGCCACGCTTTTCCTATTCTGGGTTTTCTACTCCTTGACCCTCCCAGCACTTGTTGCCTCTGTGTTAGGACACGTGGCATTTCTGAACTCATACTGCTGTTTCATCTTCCAATCAGATGACTGACCTGAAGCCAGGTTTTGATGTCCTGAGTCACATGCAACCCTTGGTACCAGAGCCTGTGGGTTACATCTGGTTTTGCCTCCTTCCACTTGGCTCTGTAATGTTCTGAATGCAAAGTACATGAACCTCCCTGGAGTTTCTTCCCCAATGAATGCGTGGCCCAGTGGCCCAGACTCTCTAGGGGCAGGCTCCCAAAACTGTACTTGCAGGCTTTCCCAGGTGATTTTAATAGAGCCAACCTGGAGAGAGACCCAGTGCTCTCTGAAGTCTGATTCCTACTTGGTTACATAAAGAGAAACATGAAGCATGAAGAACTGTCTATGCCTGGAGCCCACCTCCGATGTAAAAAGCCTGGTGTCAAAAGTGAACACACAGCTTAGGTGACAACCTTTCACCCAAGAAGGCTCATCACCGACTGGTCCCTGCACCACCTCTCCGTGTGCCCTTCTGCCATCGTGCTATCTGGATAGTTCACAAATGTGCATGTCTTCCACTAAAAATGAAAGGCCTACCCTCCACCACTCTCTTCTCTCACCTTCTTTAAGGACAACTCCGCATCCTTTTCCTCAGCTCCCTCACAGGTAAGGAGGGACTGGGGCTTCCTCCTTATGCTCACCCTTTGTAATGTAGTATCGGATAGCTTCAAGTATGGAGGTGGGGCACAACTCAACATTAATTAAGTATCTGGCTGACTTAGGTTAACCCTACTGATTCTCACGGCAAGATGATTCTGTAACATCAGAAACCAGCTAGTTCCAAGTGTGTGAGGCTTCCACCCAGGACTCCAAAGGCACTTCTGCTTTCCCTATATAAAAATGTCCATCCAAATTTTCTTTGGAACAAACCTCACCAATATCTTACCTTCCTCTTCATTCCATATGAGGTTTGATATACAAAACATAGCGGCAAGCTGAAGTTTGACATGTGAATGACCCTATAGATGTAGAAAAGGAATAAAAATCAGAATAGGGCAATCTGACTGCACATCATTTTTCTCGTGACATACCATAGGTAACTGTAAGAGCCTACAGTTCTGAACCAGAGGTTACAAACCTGAGGAGTTATAAAGTTAATATCAAATAGAGTGTAGGTCAGGCTAAAGGTAATGGAGAATGGTGGAAATGTGGCCAAGAGAGGAGTGCAGCCCTTACCAAAAGACAATAAAAATGTAAAAAGCATCCAGTGGCCAAACAAAATAGCTCTGAGGCTACAGGTAAGAAGTTTGTGATTTAACAATTTCCTGAAACCAAGGTACCTAACAGCTCCACACTGTCAACTAGCCCATCACTCTCAGTCACTGGCAGTGACGAACTAGAAGCGGACTACTTATTAGCTCTTCAGCTACTACCTTGCTCAAGTAGTCCAATAACTCCTCTGGCATAGAAAATGAAGCCATGGTCAGGAGGTTCACGAACAAACACATTCAAGCACACTTTATAGTTTACTCTCCTGATACTACTTGCTGAAAATAAGAATGACAGAATCCTTTTGGCTTCTAGAATAATAAAATTATTCTCATTTCTGTAAGAATAACCCAAAGCACTAGATTAAATTGCTACCAGGCTTATCAAATGTCACAACTGTGACTAAGGCACCTCATATTCTAACACATGATTCCTACTTATTTTCCATTAAGTACTGCAAGTGCAACCTTCAGGTTATTTATCCCTATAGAATGCTTTCTCCTAAATGAAAGATGACTCAATAAACAGTAAGCAACCTTTAGATTACTTCCATACTTGTCCATTTTATATGGCATCTTAAATGACGGCTGGAGAGATGGCTCAGCAGTTAAGAGCATTTGCTGTTCTTCCAGATGACTCAGATTTGATCCCAGTACCCACATGGCAGTTCACAACAGGCTAGAACCTCAGTTCCAGGGGATCCAATGCCCCCTTCTGACTCTGAGGGCACCAGGCACAAGTGTGGTGCATACACTGACACCAATCACACACATACACATAAAATTAAAGAAAGAAATTAAAAAATAAAGGCCTTAAATAATTAACGCACACCCAAAGGAACACCAAGTGCAGGATCTGTTCAAAGACTGCTGGAAGGCTAACGAACGTAGTTATCCCTGCAGTCAGGACTACACGTCTACAAAGACAAGACAAAGAACTGGGCGAGCCTTCCTCCACTAGAACTTTTGGTGAGTGGTTCTCCTTTTGCCTGTCAATGGTTTTAAAGATCTGGCTTAGGTTCACTAAGCCAAAAGAGAGTAAAACCTGTCACCTGCGCCCGGCCTCAGACTAACGATGAGTAAACCAAGCAAATGATCTTATAACATAGTACTTACTACTAAAAAATTAATTTGTCACTTATTCAATAACAAAGGTTAGCTGGAGTGGTAGGAACTTAACATAGTTGAGTGTACACAGAAGATCTTGAAAGAGGAAACATTTAAATAGAGACTTAAAGAAAAGGAGGGAGCTGGAGGTATAAAAATCACGGGGCTATGCGCTTTAAAAAGAAAACTTCTTGAGGGGATCAGACAGGTGGATGTTCAAAGGATGTGGGGCCCTTGTAGGCTAGACAAGTGGGTTTCACTCTGCATTCAGAAGAAGCCTCTGAAGGATTTAAAGGCACAGGATCTGACCCACAGTCGTAGAGGTTCATTTTGGGTGGGAGAACTGGAGTGTCACTCTGGAGGCTACCGTTAGGAGACAGATGATCAGACAGGAGATGCACTGGCATGGACTCCAGTGGGGGCAACAGGAAGATGTGAAAAGATTCAAAACTGGATTTTGTAGTTAGGACTGGAAAAATCAAAGTTGCACCTGACTTGAGCACTGGAGTAGATGGCAGAGGAGGAGACACCGACCTAGAAACGGCAGCCCCCAGAGGTCACCAGCCAGCAGGAGAAGATGTTGGGTAAGCTGGAGGGCACCAAATCCAGAGTCCTGAAGGGAGGAGGTCCAGGCCTCAGCTACATCTTTAAAAAGTACTCATAGAGACGGAAAAAGAAACCATGGCATTGATGAGAGTCTGGTAGGCCAATGGCTTTCCTCCATCTCACTCATAAGAATAACTTCAAAAATCTGGGTAACTGAGTCATATCCCAGATGTTTTTATTAGATTAGAATCTTGAGAGGGTAAGGATACAGCAAACTGTGAAAGCTCCCTAGGAAGCTCTACTATGCAACTAAAGCTGCAGACCAGCAACCAGGAGGAGAGCAGATAGGAGAGGGGATGGTCAGGGGTACGGTGTCAGGAAAGCCAAGAGGAAGAGATGTTTCCAGGACGAAACAGCCAGCTGTGTTCAAGTCAGCTCTCAGTAGGGAGTATGAGGAAGGAAACAGCTTTCAGATTGAGCACCACAGAGATCACCAGTGATCTTCACTAGAACAGGTACAGCTGAGTGATGAGGACAAAGCCATCTAAATCTGATGAAGTAGGTCAGGGAAACTGGGGTATGCCTTGACCACTCAGAGAACAAAGGAGGTGAAGTCAGTCCTTCCAGTGCTGCAGAGTGAGCCCAGGGGCATATGCACTGGAGATGGCCTATCACTAAAGGAACCTTCAAAAGACCGAAGACGCTATGTGTAATGAAAAGACAAGGGAATTACCAGATCAAGTTGTAGGTTTTTACTCAACAAACACAGAGTAGGTATTTGGGTACTGTAAAGGTGGTAAAACTGTGCACATAACTTACTCAATCCTTGCTTTGACAGAGTCAGTAGACACACACACAGATGCATCACTAGATCGACTGAACTGCTCTGAAGAAAACAGTGTTATAAACTCACACAAGAGGGGCTCAGAGACGAACTATAAGTTCAGCTGGGATCTGAACTTATGAGGAGTGGGGCAAAGAAGTGTCCCAGGTGTAGAAATCAGAACAGATAAAGGACCTGAGGCAGGAAAGAACGTGGCTAGAAGAGAGCCATGTAGTGAACAAAGGGAAGGGGAGTGAAATGACTCAGGGATACTGTGAGTCAGGCCACAGACTATTTACCAGGCCAAGGATTAACTCAAAAGAGCTGGAGTGTGGGCATGACACAAATTGATAGGAACTGAAGAGTCAAGTTTAAAAGATCAAGGAGAAAGTATGAACCTATTTTGGGGAGAAAGGAGGCATAGCTTACTAGAAAATCAGTGAAGGACACAAGACAGGATTGGTAAAAAAATGAATCATACAGCTTTGATCTGTGTCTTTCTCTGCAATTATTAACTATGAATTTGTCCAGCAAAGAGAAGACACCTTTGCTGGAGGAAGGAGGTGGGGAGATGTCCTTCATGGTTAGAATGCTGTTGTGAAAATGGACAAAACAAAACAAAACAACAACAAAAAAAAAAACGATGGGGGTGTTTAGCATCAGATTTTGGTGCTAAACTGGCAGTTTTCCTTGATGACGACATGACATAGCAGTAGGTGGCAGGCTGTGTTTGGAAGTAAACATGTCAAGGGAGTAAGGAACCACGTGGCTAGAGGACTTACCACCATGGGACTGAGAGATCTGAGGGAGACAGGACTTAGAAGAGCCAAGAGCTTAATCACATCTTCAGTAAGAGGCAGAGGACCCTGGTCCTCTGGGTGGCAGAGTTAACAGCACTCACAGCACATTTCTAGCGGTTCGCTTTGCTTTTCCTACTTCAGGATACAAACTTGTTGTGGATATAAATATGTTTTTGTTTTGGTCCCAAGTGTGGGATGTGGGACTGATTTAGACGGTCCACAGCAGCAGACTATCTGCCTCATGCCGGCTCTGAGAGGAGCTCTTTGCCAGCTGCAGATAGTTTAAATCTGAGGACTCTGGCAGAGACTGAGATGATCGGAGAAAGAACAAGGCTGCACTGCTTCCCCCTTGCTGCTCTTGGTTGCTGTTGTGAGCCAAGGAGTTGGAGATCTTCTGAAATGAGGACTGGACTGGCTCCAAGGAACCCGACAACCCTAACCAGCAGAAAGCAGCTAAGAAAGAAAACTGTGTCCCCTCTCCCACTAACCCTTTCTCTCTCTTACCTGGTGTTGGAGTGTTGAAAGGGTTTAGGGTGGAGTAGGGAGAAAAAGATAAAAGGAATGTAAATAAAAGAGTTTTTTTGTTGTTGTTGTTTGTTTTTTTTAAAAAAACCTAAACACAAACTCTGAATTTGCTACAGAGTAGTTAACATTCTTCTTCTGCAGTGGAACTACAATGCTACAGCCCTTTGAACACTACATAAGAGAGACTGAGGCTTACCATATAATATTTGATTTTCTGCAGGATGTCATCATTGGTCATAATAAGTTCTTTTGCTGTTGTCCCGTCTGCAATGTTGGCTAGGATGCACAGTGTCTGGAAAAGAACAAAAAGCCACTGATCAAGAAAGCTCCCTCAGGGGCTAAGGAGATAGTCCAGTAGTTAAGAAAACACACTGCTCTTGTAGAGGACCTAGGTCTGGTTCCCAGCACCCACATGATGGCTCACAACTACCCATAACCCCAGCTCAAAGAATCTGATGCCCACTTCTGACCTCTGTGGGCACCAGATCCACAATAGTATATATACACACATTCAGACAAAATACTCATATAAATAAAATACGATAACACTTTAAAAAAAAAAATTCCCAGAAGATCATGCGACATTTCTCATCTGAAGGTGCAGTTTCTCATGGGTTCTATCAATGTCCTGATTCTCATCTCCTGTCATTACTACCAAACAAAGTAACCACATCCAAGAAAAGTCTCTTATGCAAACAAGAACTCAATCACTTCAGTGGTTTCTTGCTGGGCTTTAAGCCATGTAAAGGCTGCTACAGCACCACATTACTGTTACTGACTAGCATACACAAGAGCCTGGGTTAGATCCTGGTACCACTGAGCTCCTCCTAATAAGACAGTAAATTTAGAAACTCATTTCTAAGAGAAGGTTCTATGACAGACCTCTGCTTTCTTTGAAGATGCAGCCTCTTCGCTGGAAGCTGCCTAGGAGCTGCAACTCTCCTCCCTTCCCTAGGCCTCCATCTGCAGCTTACTCCCAAGCTCATGACTGAACCTGTCTACAAACTACACTGGTTGCTGCAATTAGAACATGCTAATGCTTTTTGAGGGACAGAAAAAGATAAGTGTAAAGGAGCCTGGTCCGAGCTGGCCTGATGAAGAGACTGAAGGGAGCCTATGCCAGCTGGTGGGACAGTACATCTTGAAAGGCACTGGCAACTAGAGTTTCTGCTTAGCAGGAGACCAGTCTTACCAGATGCTTCATTTCTGCAGCCAGGACTAAGGAGAAAAGGACGTCAGCAGGGAAATCAAGACAATGACAGATGGAGTGTAACACAAGCCCATCTTCTACAGGGCATCCCAGTGAGGTGAGAATAAGACACACATCCTGACTTTGACACAGTTACATAAACAACTACATTTCACTGAAGCAAAATGGAACCAAGAAAACAAAATTTGTTGGGTACTCTCAAGGCCAGAAGCTTCTGGGAGGAAGCAACATGACCCTGAAGCACAGGGATCACAGGGCAGTATGAGAGCTGAGGATGGGGCCCAGACTCCCTTCTTCCAGTCTAAGCCTTTTCCTTTGTAAGACTTAAGTAATTAAGCTAAGGAAGAAACTTTTCTTACTCAGGCCAAGACCTCATATGTCCTAAAGGGTCTGCAGCTTGATTTCAACACCAGCCATGCATGTAGCAAACACACACTCCCCCGCACACACGGCACAGCAAAACACACACACACATAAAATAAAGTTAAAAGTTTTGTATGACTTCAGTGTGAGAAGACTCTTAAAACCCTTACACACGGAGTAATTCTACCATTGTTTCTCTTTGAACTTGGCATGCCTTGGATTTGCTTTCTTTTCATTGTTGTCTTTTATAACTTGCTCTAACTTGCTCTATGAACAGACCAGCCGGCTGGCTGGTTGTTGAACCTGTCTTCTTTCACAGGGCACAATGCACCTAAGATTCGCCCACGCTCTGGAATGCATCAAAACTTGTCCGTTGTGTTATTCCTCCACCCCCATTGCTAATCACATTTCCATAGTTTAGTCATTCTTCACTTGAGTGTCATTTGGTCTGTTTCTAGTTTTGGGTGACAATGAATAATTCTTACAAATATTGACAGGATTTTTGTGAAAATGTTTTCACTTTATATATGGACTCTTACCCAGGAGAGGACTAGGGAGATGTGAGGAAACAACAACTGGACATCTGTATTATGGATTCCACATCCACAGACAGAAAAATTCAGGGGGAAAGTGTTTTGTAGTGAGTGTATATACATTTTCTGATCATTATTTCTTAAACAACACAGTATTATGATCATTTACACAGCATTTACATTATTAAACAAAAGAAATAATGCAGAGATTAGAGTATACAGGAACATGTGTGTAGACTACATACAAGTACTATAGTCATTCATTTTAAATCTGGGACAGAAGGCTGAAGACTTTGGCATTTTTATGCAAAGGAGAGACCAATCACCAAGAATACTGAGGGTGACTGTGTAAGTTAACCTTGTAACAAAAATATCGTAATATTTTTCAAAGTGTATCATCTTGCACTCCACTGCATTCTTGCTAGCAATTTTAAAAGCGGCCATTTAAAAATGCTAAGCTGGTGACATGGCTCAGTAGGTAAAAGTACTGGCCACCAAGAACCCTGGAACCTGCATGGTGGAAGGAGAGAACTGACTCCTGCAAGATGTCCTCTGTTCTAAAAAACATGCCCACTCCTCAACCCCCACCACACACACACACACACACACACACACACACAAAAGGGGAAAATATATCCTGTTTTTCTAAAAGCTTTCCATTCTACAGAATCTGCAGTGATATTTTATTGTGGAACATCTGTTGTCAGTTGTTTTTTTCTTTTGTTTGAAATCTTCTTGTATCTCTTGGACACAAGTTCTAGTTCCTTTTACTTTCCAGAGACTTTAGTAATTTATAACTAAATTAATATTTATCCTGGGATCCTGATTGGCATTATGTTGTCTGTAAACCATTTAGGGAGAGCTGACATTGTAAACATTTTATATCTTTGTTTATTTAGCTCTTAGTTAATTTTATTGCTATCAGAGTCTTATAACTTTTAGTACACAGACCTTATGAAATAAATCTAAGTACTTAGTTTTTTTCAAGTTACTGAAAATGCTGGGTTTTTTTTTTTTTAGTACTATTAATATTCCCACACTGCCTATTTATGAATATAACTAATTTTTCTATTTTGTCACTTTGCTTAATTTAGTTATAGATTTTTTCTTTTAAATGAGTGGACGTTATTTTCTACACAACTCTTCGTGTCTGGGAAACAGTTCTGCTTCATCCTTTCCAATACGTGTATCTTACTTATTTTGCCTGCTACACTCCAGCGTCCGATTGATGAAGGGTGAAATGAATGAACACACTTGTCTTCTTTCCAACCACAGGGCAACAACAGGTATATTCCCTGACTATAATATCCCTCGCAATATATACCTGGATTGCAGCGGCTGCTTCATGGGTAAATGTACCTGTGAAAACTTATACGCACTTACATATACTGCAAATATATTCAGCTTACTGCATGCCCCCATAAAAATAACTTACTAGATGCTTTAGAGGAGGACTGAACTTCCAGCCAGCAACTAAGCTTAAGCCTTCTATCCACACCCACTTCCGGGTCATCTCCAAATTCTTTGAGTGTCCTGTGAAAACACACTATTGTCGATTGTTTTGCCCATATCTAAGTCCTGCTTGGCCTTTATGCCTTGCTTTTGTCAGACTGGTGGAGTTTTACCCAGGTGAGCTGTCTCTACAGACAGAATACGTCTGTACATTTTCCAAGTAGCAATTTCTTTTGAATAGTGCATCTTCAGTCTTGTACCCCAGTGATGGCTTTCATTTCAACTAGTTCCAATGATGCTTAGATTACATCTTTTCAGTGTTAAGGTACTGCTCATGAAAAGTTTACTTCTTAATCTTAAATCACCTAGGACATTTGTCTTAAAATTACTTAGTCAACTCTTTTTCTTGTAATTAAACTCAAGTCCAGCTCTCGAGTCCTAAGCTCTATGATGTCCAGGAAGGCTCTAAGTCAGGAACACAAAGGATAAGTCAATTCTCCATAATGACGTTGGGCAAATTTTTGTCTCTCACGCTCTCACACACTAACATACATAATATTATTTATGTGTGTATTCACGTGCATGTGTGCACACAGATACACGAGTGTACAGCTCAATGAATTCAGAACATGAACAGAGCTCTTTAGCAAACAACTACATCAGGAAAGCAAACATTAGCAGTAAATCTGACTCTGTTAACATCTTGGCAGGTGAGCTTTATTTTTGAGGTAAAATAAAATGTATCCAACTTCTATGATAAATTTTAGAAAATACAGAAAGTGACTCCCAACTTATTCCCTGAAAATGTAGCTGCCATACTTTTATACCTTCCCTAAGTGTGTCCTATAGAAAATAAGCATTTAAAATGCCAACCAAGAACAAAAGATGCCCAAGAGTAAAGAAACCAAAACTGTCCTTAGAATAAGGGATTATCTAATCAGGGAGGTGCGGGAATCTGAGTTTCGAGTATAGTGAGAGGGAAGGCTATCATTCAGACTGGTGCTAAAAGGAGGCTGTTCCTGCAGAGGCAGGGACAGTGCATACGGCATCTGACACAACCGAGAACTAGGCTCTGCTCATGTCTTCCTCTGAAGGAGTCACTTGAAGGAGCTTCTCCTCTCCAAGACATATTTCAGAAACCTGAAAGCTCGACCTTTGTATTTATACCTAGAAGGCTCTCCACAACACATACCTGCTCTTTGACCTCAATGCTGTGCTCCCCTTCCAGAATCAGAGTGACAGCCTGCATGATCTGCTTCCCGTGGGTACTCATTATCTTATCTATATGCTGTAAAACAATGGGAAAGCCACAATTACACCTGGGAAACAAAGAAAGGGACCACAGGAGGCCTCCATTTCTTTCACTTTAGTTTTAGTCTATGCAGCTGATCAAGACCTTGAGTTCTTGATGCACTGCCCAAATACTGGGATTAAAGGTCAGTACCACCACACCCAACAGAGAAAGTTCTGCAAGGGTACACAATATACAACTGCTTCAAACAGAACAATACAGCATACAGAAACAGATTCCAAAGACCGGTGTTTAGTGTATTTTGAAGCAGCCTCGCTGTGTATGTACGTGTACACGTGCATGCGTGTGTGGGTGTATGTATACGATAAAGAGAACTAAAAACACTGAGAATCAAGAAGCACAAAATGAATGAAGAAGAAGAGCAAGAGACATGGAAACTGTGACGTGACTCATTAATATGATCTTAGGGTAGAAATGTGGTAAGGATGACTGAAAGGACAAGTAAGGCAGAGAAGGGGCTGGCATTCTCTATCTACCTGCGAGCCACTGATGACGAATGTCCACAGCGACCCCACTAGCAAAGCTGAGCCTCTCAGACTCTTTCACGCACCCATTTCTTTCCACAATGACATCGATATGTAAGTACGGATGGATAGTGTCTGTGGAATAATACTGAGAGGAAATTTCAAATGAGAAACAGACAGGCCTCAGAGACAATGATTTGGGCAGATGAGATGGCCCACTTTGTTCAGCAAACCAGGTACGAATAGTGACAAGTTGAGGGAGGTATACAGCCAGCCCTGGATAGAGGCACACCCAGCATTCAGGCAGTGGTGGCAGGCCTCGGGTTAGACAGCGTGGCGGCCCCCAGTGTACACGTGTAGGACAGGCTGCTATGCGAGCTTGATTCTCTGGAACGGACAGCACTTTGCTCACACTCAAGATGCTGAGCAGTGCAGAGCAAGCTAATATGGAACCCTAGGGGTGTTACTCACAGGCCGAGTGGAGAGGAGATTTCTAAGAAGTCCCAATGTCTTCATCAGCACGTTCAAATCTGAATCTGACAATAACCGGAATAGCTGTTCAGTACTCAAGCTTCGTAAAATATCTGCTTTTATTTTTTGTTCGGCCTGAAATGCCATATTCTGAAAGGATTAAAGAAATTACAAGAATCATATCTACAGTCACTGCATTAAATTTTATTTTAATAGAACCCTGATCATTCAAAGAAGTTGGATTAGTCATACTATGTTTCTGATTTCTTTTCATCACCTTTAGAGAGCATGAGTAACCACCTGGAATACAGTCACTTATGGACATGGGCATTTGAACAAAGCAAACCCACTATGACCTTTGAGAAGAGTTTTACATATTTTATGCTAGTGTTGCAATGGCACACCCTACCACACAGGAAACAAAGTAGGTGGGGAGTATCCCTGGGCTATTAGCAGCTCAAGTGGTCAGACGCTACTTTGTTTCTACTTACTTCCTAATTCATATAATGGATTAGCCCAGTTTACTCCAAGCTCTATGTCTAAAGAAAAAAAAAAAAAAAAAAAAAAAAAGCAGATGCCAAGTAACAATTCATAAACATTTGCTGTAAAAATTTCTTATAGCTTGGTGGTTTATATGTAGTTATTGCCGTCTAGTCATTTTATTTAGGCATCTAAGACCTATAACAGAGCAAGGTTCTCAACAGGACAATGGCAGTCAAGAGAACACTCCTAGCCAGAGACCCAGGCCAAGGCACTCTCTCGCAGCTTTATGTTTGTGAACATAGGTCACAAGAAACCGGTGATACGGAGACTGATTAGAATAAGATAGACGGCAGAATGAGATGACTCATTTGATGTTTACCAACAAACCTGCATCTCAGGAAGCCCCCAACTCAAGTCCCTAAGGCTATCTGAGTGAAAGATCCGGGAGTGGGTCACGTATGTGTAGACAACACAGGCTTCTGAGTAAGCGCTCCTATTGCAGGGTTCCTGAGACTGCAGTGTAAAGGAAACTGACACTGGCAGAGCAGTCCTGAACAGGAGGTAAGGTGAGAGATGGCAGGAGAAACTTTAAAAAGCCTGGGAGCATTCCAAGAAGAGCTACAAGCTGTGCTAAGGAAAAAAATCACTAAGACATGATCAGATTTAGTGTTTTATTAGATTATTATTTCTGTCCCCAAGTTCAGGTCAGTAACTCAGCAGATACACTACGGAGCAGGGAGATGAGTTCAGGCTTGGATGGCATTAGAGTATATTTCCATCACTCACGTGTCCTACTTTCCTACCAGGAAGGTAAATACATTACAAGAACCAGCACGGGACCACTGAAAGGGTTAAGTTAAGTAAAGACACAGACCTCATGGCCTGAGCTGGAGCCCCTGAACTCATAAGGTGGATGGAGAGAACTGACCCTCCCCCAAAGGTTGTCCTCTCACCTCTGGGATGTGTGTACACACCCCTACTAACTAAATGTGATAAAACATTGTTTTTAAAATAGCAGTTACAAACCTAAAGCCCCGAGTTTTGTTCTAATATGCATCAATTAAACTGTAAATACCCTAAGTACGTTTTTGAAACTCCATACAGATTTACTCCTTTTCAAAAGTCAATGAAGTTTACCTTAACGATCTCGAGAAAATGGTTCTGATCTCAATTTAAGAAACTTACTACGTTGACTAGAAACTATTCAATTACTAAGTATTTGGCAAGGTAATTATATTACAAAATACGCTAACTACATGAGTGATGCTTACATTAGCACAATTCAGCTACTTCAGATCTTCTTTTAAAACACGTAAACCATAAACATGAAATTTTATGTGTCAGCTAGAACAACAATCATTCCATGCCTTGGTCTACTAACTGTTAAGAAGGAAAAGAATATCACTCCATGCAAGCATAAAATAAGCAGCTGTCTATGACTAGTAGTGTATTCAGAAGCACACATATCTGTTCCCAGATGAGGGTATGCTATATGACCAAACAACTCTTACAAATAAACCTGAAAGATAAACACAGACTCTTTCACGCCATAGGTCATGAGAAAACTGGACTATGTCAGCTAGCTTTATTGACTGATTAATTTTGTTTTTGAGATAGGGTTTCTCTGTGTAGCCTTGGCTGTCCTGTACTCACTTTGTAGACCATTCTGGACTCAAACTCACAGAGAACCACCTGCCTCTGCCTCCGAGTGCTGGGATTACAGGCGTGTGCCACCATACCTGGCATGTTAGCTAGTTTTTAAAAAAGAAAATTCCAGAACATATGCCATAGTTATAACGTTGATAATGCCTCTATTTTTCTTGTAAATTGTGACATTTAAAGGGTGAAACATACCATTAAAGCCCAAATCCCATTCACACGTAGAGCAGGATTTTCACTCTGTGTCAATCCACAAAGCAGTTCTACAGCTCCTGATTCCAAAATTGGCTGGTCAAAAAAGGAAGAACAAGACAGAATAATAAATAAATTACAACAAAATCCATGTCAGATTTGTAAACCATCACTGAATAATCTCTTCCCCATCTTACTCAATTATAAGCAGCTTTCACAAAGCAGGAACGATTGAACCATAAGTTACCTTGAAGAAGACAATCTCCCTCTCCCACCCTCCCTTTTTCCTTCTGCCCTTCCCTCCCTTCCTCTGTGTCTGTTTCTCTCTCTTCCGTGCACCCTCAGGCATGTCTCCCCACAGACTCTTACAACGGCACTGTCTACTTCCTTACTCTTGTTCTCTTCATGCCAAACACACTGGAGAACCCGAGTTTCAGATCTATTCTCAGCACTAATTGTCCATGATGTGTACACAGCACAACTGGTCATGTCACATCTCGTGCCCATGGCAGGCAGCCTAACTACTGACTATAGCTCAAATATCTCGCTGAAAATGGGTGTCTAGAGAGTTCTCAAAACTCCAGACTTTCCAGGATTGAGACTTACTACTAATGACTACTGAAAGGCATATGCCACTTGGTGTCTAGAAGGCTCTTAACGAATTCACTGCCTTTCAAGATGACATCTTTGAAGAACATGTATTCAAAATATGGCATTTCAAACAACTGCCATGGTGGCATTATCCTATTTCTTAGTCTATGCAATTAATTCACATTATTAATTTTATTTTGCCATTTGAAGACTACAGACTTGATGCCCTTAACCCCCAATAGTTCAGCATGTTTCCTGAGAACAAAACATCCTTCGACAAGCACAATATAGCTACTAAATGCAGAAAAGTTAGCACTAAATTAAAACAACACTTTTCCCAACATAAATTCTATACTTCAATTCTGCCAACTGGTCCAACAATATTTTTGTAGCATTTTTCTCCCTTCTGGATCAGGAGAAAGGTTTGTTTGTTTGTTTGTTTGTTTCCCAATATACAAAATTAGTCTGACCCTTTGGGTTCATCCACCACATTTCCTCACTGGATGCTACCTAAGCTGCTCTAGGAGGCTGCAGGTGCTCCGACTTTAACTCAGCTGTCAGTACTCCACTGCAGGCAGAGGACTGGGAGCCTTTCTCAGCCCGTCTTGCTCTTTGTCCCCTATAGTGTAAGAATGTTCAATAACCATCTTTGACTTTCACCTTCTTGGAGCTGCCGTCTTAAAGTCAGTCAAAGCTGCAGATGTTTCAATATAGAAAATAAGTTTACAAACTACTACAGGTCCAACAAACAGCAAATCTGACCTCAGAATTGGGAGGAAGGACACACACACAGACACACCCATGCACACGCTTGTTTGCTGTTGCTGGAGACTGAGTCCATTCTCTGTTCATATGTAAGCATGCTCCAGAGCCCAGACCAGAAAGTGAAACAGTAAAACTATAGAAGGTGTTTGCCCATACTGTTATTGTTCTTTATTAAAAACAAAAGCCATGAGCTCAAAAAAATGTATAAGTTGTAAAAAGAGACCCCTCTAAAACACAGGGAACACGGCATAAATAGGAGGTGGCAGAAAGAACATGAGAACCAGACGACAGGAAAATGCATATCAAAAGGAACCTTCTGGACATAACACACGCATGACCAAACTCACTGCAGCTGTGGCTAACACCGTGTGACCTGCCTAGACTGGGCTGCTGGCCAACACTGCACCACAGTCATGGAGGGACCAAGAAACTCCGCCCCTTCCTGGGGGTCTACTGTCAGTTAGTGGTTGCTGGGGCGAAGGGAGTCAAGTTCTTCAGTGGGGTAGCCACAGTCAAGCAGTCCATGCTCTAGTAAATAACTTCCATCCATGGCCATGGATGCAACTCTAACTAAACCCTGCAGGTCACACACAAGAAGTACATGAAGACAGGAGAGGGATTTGCTGGAAAGACAGGGCAGGGAGGAGGTGAGAGGCGGTCGCAGCAGGAAGAGCCACTAAAATTCATAATACACATGGGAAACTGTCAAGAGAAAAATAGGGGAGAAAAAACACCTTACATTCATTCTTCCCCAAACAATTACTACTGAATATTATTTTCTGATGTAAGGAGTGATTCCTTTGAAATGACTTACAATTCAGGTTTTCAAAGACAAGTCAATTTATTCTTTAGTAAATACTGCTTGAAAATGGTCTATTTATGTTTTTATTAATTATTTCTTTTCTTGCAGTTTCAGTATAGATTAGTTATATATTGTGGCATATTTTAGTTTTTTGTTTATAAACAAGGTGACCTTAAATTTTTGGGCTCTTGAAACCCTTTGGCCTCAGCCTCCGAAGTAGCTGAGACTACAGGTGAGGTGGATCTGGGCTTTGTAACATCTGTTAAGTAAGTTAAACATTACAGATAGAATGAACAAAGTAATGGGAAGTTGTTCCAACACTGAGAAATAAGTGACTTATTTCCTTCTCTACTCAAATGAAACAACTCAGAAGTTCTTTAACTCAATCCACAAATTTCAACACCAACTATTATTTTAAGAAGAAAAGCCAAGCAGTGGTGGTGCACGCCTTTAATCCCAGCACTCAGGAGCAAGAGGCAGACTGATCTCTGTGAGTTCAAGGCCAGCCTGGTCTAGTGAGTTCTAGGACAGCTGGAACTACACAGAGAAACACCGTCTCAAAAAACCGAAATAAATAAAGAAAAAAATATAGCAATTGACTAAACTTTAGCCAGGTAAGAGAAAAATCAATACTAACCTCTTTACTTGGAGAAAATTCAAGAAGAAGGTTACATAACATGGAAGATGCTACTACTAGGATTTCATCGGGTGCATTTTGTAAAACCTATAGAATAAAAAGGGCGATGTCATTAACTTTGAAATGCTAAAGGTGAGGTCAAGTAAAACCCTAAATAATTATCTTCCAACTTGACTTCTCATACTGGACAGTATGTATAGGAAAGAGGACTGCAACTCAGAAGCTGACCTCTACTGTCAAGTTGATGTGATTATAGTAAAATAAGACTGGGGTGTAGCTTAGTTGGTCAAGTGCTTGTCTACCTGAGTTTGCTCCCAGAACAAGAAAAATATATATACATACATACAAGTCAATTTTACCCAAACAGAAAAATTTAAAACACAAACAAAAGTTTTTATTAAAATTAAACAGCTAGTCTCTTGTGTTTTGTTAGTGAACAGATTAAAATATGAAAAAGCAAAATGAGAAAATTATTAGATATTAGATATATAAGCAGCTTTTCAACTATGCAAAATCAAAATGAGTATGAGTATCTGCATCTAATATTACAGCTTATTCGTGTAACTTAGTCATGGTTTCAGAGTCAAACCCACATACAGCCCTGAGTACAAAACTCCTGTAGGCTGTTCACCGAACATTTGACCTAGGAGAAGTAGACAGGGATCACCCTGCTCTGTCCTTGATGTGCATGATACAGAGATTCTGAGCTGAGCAACCAGAAGGTCCAGACAGAAAAGATGTTATTTTGGGAAACAGAAAACAGTTAAAAAGTATTGGGTGAATAATAAATAAATCAAGATCAAGCTATCAATTAAAAAAAAAAAAAAAAGCAAACCAAAACAAAACCTGAAAAGGAAAAATAGGACCTGTAAAAGAAAACAGTAACTGAGAAGAGCCTTCCGAAGTCTAGGAATGTCAAATTTGGCTCCACCGGTTTTAAGTAAGAGACTGTGAATGGAAAACAGACTTTTGTTGACTGAACTGGCCTACCCCTGAGGTGTATCCTACCAGTGTAGAAGGGCATTAAGGTTGTACTTAGAGTAGGCAAATAACCTTTCTGAAGTTGGGAGCTCTAATTTCTAGGAAACAAAAATACAGAAGGAAATGAGTCATGTTCAAGAGGTGCCATGCGCCCAATAGGTGAAATAAAGCGAAAGAAATTCAGAGAATAGTGACAATGAATGGACATGGGACAAGTGCAAGGTTACAGGTTGAGAAGGAAGGCCCACCGCAAAGGAGAAACTGAAGAAACGTTTTGTCCTGATAAGCCTCACAAAGTTGTATCATGATCTTTCTATAACCTAACCACAAATCACATACCCAGAACTGTCATGCCTTCTAGTGAAGCAGCTCACTAGGGTTCTTACTGTTTCCTAAACAATGACTATCACCTTATTTCAAGACCTCAAAGAATAAATCATATACTCTGCATGAGATCAGCTTTCCCATAAGAACCACTCAGCACGCTAATTCCCAAGGACTACAGCACTGGTCCAATTCCACCTTCAAAAACAACAACAACAACAACAACACTCCACAAAAACAAGGTTTCACTATATAGTCCAAGCTGGCCTTCAACTCATGATCTTCCTGCCTCTACCTTCAGGTACTAACAATTCAGACATGCCATTTCCTACCTTCCACCTGGTTTTCTGTCCAGCCATCTGTCTCATTACTCCATCCTTCTATGATGTCTAGTTCCTACACTTTCGTACATAGCATTTCTGCTCATAGAAAGAAATCCTTCTGTTCTTTTTACCCCTGAAGTCTAATTCACATTTTCCTGCTTGACATTTCTCTTTTTTCTGTCACACTGATATCCTTACTCTAGCCTAAAGTTGAAGCAAGGGTAAGATTGCCATAATAAAAGACTTTTTGCAAGGCCTGGAGGCCTGGAAGCTTTGCTTAGTGCTTAGTAAGTATTCAAAAACAAACAACAACAAGAAAATCAAAATAATTTTAAAATTCTATTGAGTAAGTGAAATGCATACAGTTAAGAGATTTTTAAAAAAGAAAAAGATCAAAGACCAAGCTGACCATGGTTCAATATGAAGTTGAACATTAGCTGTACCCTTTATAAGTTTCAATTCATATTTACTTGTCTTGAATTCCTCCCTGCTGGCATGGGAAACCCCAAAAGCGCAGAGTTAATAGCCCAAATCTTATTTTATATCTATAAATAGCTGATTCTTTCCCTTCTTATAACTCAAAGGCTATGAGGAAAACTCTTTTCAATTTAAACAAGATGTAAGTTTAAAGAGTAATAATGAACACACAAAAGACCGAAAGCTCAAGCTAAAAACAAACAAACAAACAAACAACAACAACAAAAAAAACCTGGGCTGGGACTTCCCTCTCACCCCTGAACTGCTCAACTGAGAACCGCTGACCTGAGTGTGGCTGAGTGACTCAGGATAAACAGCAAAATGTTCTACCCAAGAAGCAGATGTACTCCTAGAGCCGGGTGCTCGGCTCACACAGGCTCCGTGCCAACTGCTGTAACTTTCTCACCTTCATTAAAGGTTTCCACACCGCATGATCCTGGAAACTGGTTCGAAGCTGCTGTACAGATCTGGATAAACTGTGCAAACATCTATAAAGAATGATCAAAATTAGCTTCCCAAGAAGCCAAACCTCACATTTCAAATCAATTGCTTGGCTTTTCACTAGTACGAACGTACACTTCAAGCATGACTATCGGAGGCTACTTTCTGTTAGGTGACATGACACACTGCATGAATTCACCTGAGCATACGTTCCAGGAACATCTGCATCCTGTGCTTAGTGAAGGACCGGAAAGGAAACAGGCTAAACACACAGCAAGGGATTTTTATTCAGACCACGTAAAGCTCATACCTGACAGCAGCTAACCGCACCTTGACACTAGACTCAGACAAGCCAGTCACAATTCGGTCCATCATATTTTCAGTCTCAATGATCTGGAGAAAAAGGTTAATGCTGCATAAATGACAACATGAAGGTGACAGACTTCACTGCTTGTAAACGCAAGTAAGTTACTGTTCATTAGAGCCTAATGTTCTTAGCAAAAGGCTTTTACCTCGAGACAACCACCTTGCAGTGGGGCAGGCCACTCACCAGAAACATGGAGCAAGCACCCACTAAGGACACGCCGGCGTGGACGACAGGCATAATCATGCTTCTTTCTTTTTAAGGGTATTTGAATGGCTTAAGTACTACAGAGGTGTGCATAACCAATGTGGGCTGAGAGGATGTAAGTAAGGATGAGGCATTTCCTGTGAGAACGGCAGCGAATCACAGTCCACACTGCCCTCATCAAGTGAATGAAAGTACGCAGCCACCCTGCGGCTCCACTTTACCAAGCAGATTTAAGCTATGTAAAACATTTACAAGTAACCCTTGCTGTCCTTCACCACAGCACCAGGCCCTGGTACATGAAACCAGAACAATCAATCATTTAGCTTTGCTTCTGATGGTTCAAAGTAAAATACCCTGAAATCCGTCTTCATTAGGCCATGCACTGACAGGTGAATAGCGTGTAGAGGAAATTAAGTTGAACTCACATGGACCTATGGAAAAACAGGCTTTTCCTATGGAAGTGTTAGAGCAATCACAAAAACATCAACGTCACCAGTGGCCACCTGCTGAGTTCATGGGTGTGGCAGGCATCGTTGCACTGAGCATTTTATATTCTCTGGCTATTTGACTCTTCCATTATCTCTTCTGAAAGGGTTGTTAAGAGCATTCCCACCAACGTGCTAGGAAACTGAACATTCTGAATAGCACAGGAGTTCTGATTGCAGGGTCCACGCACTTAGCAACACTCCTGACACTGCTGACAGTTGTAACATGAATGGTCCGCCATCGGGAGGAGGTGCTGCGCTCACCTGGAACACCCAGCACAGACCAATCCCCTGAGGGAGCTGTTGATTGTCCTTACGTCTAGGACACACCAGCTGCATCAGATTCTTGCATAGACAGGAACCTGTATCTTTAACAAAGTTGAGTCCAGTGTGCACTCAAAGGCTGAGGCTTAAGCCCAACAACCTAGAGCGAAATGAGAAGATTCAGAAGCCTGACCTCAGAACAGGAGGTGAGAAATCTCCAGGCGTTCAGAAGTCGTTTCAAATTACCAGTGAACAGTAGAGAGATCTCTACTATCAAAAGCAGAGAACCTGCGGCTGGAGAAATGGACCACTGGTTAAAAGCACTGCTCTTCCAGAGGACCTGGGTTCGATTCCCAGCAAACACAAGGGCAGCTCACAACCATCTTTATCTCCAGTCTAGGGAATTCAATGCCCTCTTCTGGCCTCCACAGGCCCTACACACAGGTGGTACAGAGAGACACCCAGGCAAAACAAGGCAGGGGTGGGGTGGGGGGACAGTGAAAAGGCTCAGTGGCTGACAGTACTTGTCACTGAGTCTGAGGACTTGAGATAAAGCACCTGGACCCACATGGTGGAAGCAGAGAGAGCAGCTTCTGCAAGCTGTGCTCTTACTTACACACATGCACACATACATCTAACAAACACATACACGTAACACACATGCACACACACGTAACACACACATACATATAACACACATACATACACAGGGAGGGAGGAAGAGAAAGGAAAGAAGAAAGAATGGGAGATAGAGAAAGAGAGAACAAGGAACCACACTTTACCTATAGGCTAGGAAAGACATTTTCATACAGTGTTTCACAGTGTCCAAACAGCCCTAGAATATATACAATGTAGTACAAGAGTATACACGCCCCTTATGCCAGACCAACCCTAACCATTCTTACCTTTATGGGCATCCATTCTTTGCCCCATTATCACCTCTAGCCTCCCATGTGCCTTCTTTCTCAGGCTAGCTACTCTGGTTTGGTTTTTTTTTTTTTTTTTTTTTTTTTTTTTTTTTTAAACAGAATTTCAAAAAACTCTGTCCTGGGCTCACTTTGTAGACCAGGCTGGCCTGGAACTCAACAGAGATCCACCTTTGCCTGCCTCTGCCTCCTGAGTGCTGGGATTAAAGGTGTCCATCACCACACCCAGCTAGTTATTCTTTTTTTTTTTTTTATAAACTCTCCTATCATCTTTTTCTCAACGTGGATGGATGCCTGCCCCTTCTCAGCAGACACAATCTTACCTGTCAGATTTTGACCACTGGTCCTCCCAAGACCTGTACTCACCTGCAGGAGACCCCCATGTTCCTCGTGGTGCCCATTTCCCATTTCAGTGCTTCCCACCTTCCTCTGCACTCACCGCTACTTACAGGGGCTTTGCTCTTTTGATGGGAAGACGTTGACTTAACAGCTCACTTTTCTTCGTTTTGAGACAGGGTCTGTCTGTGTTGCCCTAGCTGTTCTCTAACTAAAACCCAAGTGATCCTGTCACCCTAGGCTCCTGAGTGTTAGGGACCACAAGACTGTGCCAGGTGCAAAGTCCCAATTCTTATTGGAACCTCCCAATTCTGTCCCATTTTTCTTTACTCTTGTTACGCTGAATATATCAAGTTGGATACATAAAGCCCAAATACCTTCTATCGTGACCCCAGACCCACTTCCCCATCTTTTTCTTGCATCTTTACAGTGACTACTTCTAAAGGAATGTCAGGGTCATGGGCTGAAAGCAGGTGGGTAGAATGAAAGAAACGTGAATAAAGGAAAGATAACCATTCTGAAGAATGGGTTTCGCTATTAATTGTGGAATAATCACTAATGCTCTTTCTAGAGAATATCCAAGCTCAGGGAGAATGAAAACAGATTTCAGGAACCCTGACAGGGTTCTAGGAAGCTTAAAACTTGAGAATTTTATTCTTCTTCAAGATTATGTCCTCTTATGTCCATAAGAGGATAAAAATGATACAAAATCAGAATATGAACATATACATATAATTCCAGTCCAAAAGGGCATCCAGAGAAGTCATGTGAACATGCTCTAACGAAGGTAATACAGCCTGAGCACTGTAGCCATTTATATAAGAGTAAAGGGGGACATCATGGTGAGAACCATGACCAAAATGAGGATAAAAATGTGGTTATAAGGCTTTAAGGACAGGTTTAGATATCCAGACAACAAATCTCCAGGTCAACAGGGAGGGACATAGAAGTAATTACTGCCAAAGTCTACTGACTCATGATAGTCTAATGGAGTGCCGCACTGCTTTATATATTCGAGGTTGGAAAGACAAGAGCAATAAACCATATTCTCTATGGTACCTCTTAGTGAGCCTGGTACCATGCCCCAAAGCTTTGAAAGGAACCAAGACATAGCACCCAGAATGGCATCTTGGGTCCTTTGAGGACATCAGAGTAATGCTAAGTAGAGCTGAAAATTGTTCTAACCCATGGTTCTTGCTGGAGATCCCATAAAAGAGATACGGCCCTGTTACACATACCACATGCCACCAAAAGAGGTATCGGCTGTCTTTCTAGTGGAGGCAGTCATTCTCTTTCTTCTAGGGGCTGAGACTGTAAATGCATCTACAGAATTAAATATCTGCATCTGAAAGTGATGAAGTTTAGGCCACTGGACTATAGTTAATATCTGTATGCTGCTGCATTCGTATTCTTGCAATTCTTCCAGGAATGGACATGGATCTAGCAGAACAGGATGGAAGATCTTTGTCATCAGGATATAGGCCTTCAGGCATGCGAAGAGATGGTGAAAGTACAGAACCCAAGTAATGCCAAGTTGGTTCACTGCACATATACTAATGTCAACAACCTAAAGCTGTCCTTTAGTTATAAGAAAACCTCTCAGTCCTTCATTAAGAAAATGCAGTATGGCCAGGATGTAAGTCACCTGTTCCTGAGAGCTTATACAGAGCTAGAAGGATCAGATATATCATTAAAGAAACAAAGCAAAGCAAAACACTCAGATTCAATCATTCTTCTTCGGCAAGACTCAGGATGAAACATTCTTCAGGGATGAGAAAAAACTTAAGTTTGGACTTTGAACTATGTTTGAAACAGATCAAGCAAACTATCCAAAAAGTAAACCTCAAAGATTTCCTGATGGTATTAGTTGACTGTGGTAAGCAATTTAAAGTGGGTAGCTTTGGGGCCAAAGGGGTAGATGGCAAAGTGGTCATTATCTTAATGTCAACCCAGTCACTTATGGTACGCAGCCAGCCAGCTACAATTTAACTCCAAATGAGCTTGTGAGAAAGGTCCGAGGAAGTTCTGTGAAGTGAAGTGATGCAGCTCCAAACAACAGATTTGGCCACTAGCAGTAAGGAGCTAGAGCCAAACTGAAATCAGAAGAGGCAGCCTCCCAGGTCTACAGAGACAAATGACTGCATCCAGGAAGTCTAGACAAGCAGGAGAAAGTGAGCAGCCGAACAGCGAGTAGCTGAAGAATATGAGGAAGGGACCTGCCACAGTGAAGGGACCTTGAGGGCATGGACTGCACTGAGTAGTCTATTAAATGCTGTTATAGATACCAATGCTCACTGACTTAAGCTCTAACACTCACCTAGCTGAGCACTGTGAATGTAAGATCGCATGTTAGTCAAAGAAAGGCTGATTTTCATAATGGTGTAGGAAACAGAGGGGTTGTAAGGAAAGGACATTGACCTGCGGCTTCCACACGAGCAAGCATGGATTTGTGCACCTGCACACATACAAATATACTTCACACACACACACACACACACACACACAGCTATAACCTATTCTATAGTTTCAAGAAATATTGGTTCTCTCTCTTGGCTCAACTTTTCCTTATGCCCAAATAACAAAAATGTATAAACATTATGATGTCAGAAATGTTACGGTGTATTAGAAAACTTCAAGATATCTATAAAAAGTGTTACTAAGAAATTCAAACTTTAAATTCACCCATTAGCTTAAATCAGCACAGAACCTAAATTACACTTTAGTTTAACAAATAAATAGAACCATTATACATCACCATTCAAATAGCAACAAACATTCTTCCACCTCTGTTTGCTGTTCAGAGATGTGAAC